AGCTGCTGCCACGCCCACTGGCCTCACCCTGGAGGCGGTGCACAAGCATGAGCAGCGACAGGCCTACAATGCGGAAACCACAACAGTCAACGATGTGGCCGGCAGTCTGAAGAGTTTCAAGCTGGACGACGAGGATGATGGCATGTCCGGATCGGGTACCGCACCCACCGGCACTTTTAAGACCTTCCAGACCTTCGCCTCCAACTACAGCACCTGCAGCAACACCAGCTTCCGCAAATTGCTCACCGGCTTCCGGGCCTCGTCCGATCTTCACAAGGAGATGTTGGCCATCCTGAGTGCCCTCACCGAAATCATCCGGGAGAACGGCGGCGGCGAGTCGTCCACAGAGTACTTCCTGCTGCTCATGGAGCAGATCGAGGCGGCCACCGAGGAGCGTGACATCGTGGCCGGCGTGGCCCTGCTCTCCATGGGCATTAAGTCGGTGCCGGCTCCAGTTCTGAGGAAGCGTTTCGCCCAGACAGCCGCCACCATGCAGACACTGCTCCAGAGATTCGTGGAGGCCACCAACCAGTCGGTCATCCGATATGTAAGTGGATGGATCAGGGGATTACCCATGACAGTTATGAGTAACCAGGGAAATAGATGGGCTATTTACTTCCAGAAATATAAAAGTTTAGGAGCGATATTACTATTTTAATAGCGTATTTGGTTTTTAATTATTTTACAATTGTCATAGAATAATTTCCACCTTTTTTCCTCCAATATTAGGTAATCGGCTGCTTGTCTGTGCTCCTGCGTGCCCAGGATTATGCGACATGGACGTACAGCTCTACGTTCCAGTACTTCGATGCCCTTCTGGCGTTCAGCATTCACTCCAAGCCGAAGATCCGCAAGGCTGCCCAGCACGCAGTGGTGTCCATAATACACGGAAGCAGCTTCATGCTGCCGGTGGTCAAGTCCGATGAGGATCAGGAGGATGTAGCGGAGAAGAAGGTTAAGAACCATCCGGCCAGCAGTCGGGTGACCAAGTTCTGTTTGGCCCAATTCAAGCCGGAGGTACTGGCCAATGCCCAGACGACGGTGCTCCATACGCTGGCGCTCCTGAAGGACACACTATCTGGCTTCCGGACGGAGGACATACGCAGTGTTTGCGAGCACTTGCTCTCCATTATGACGGCGGCCAATGTGCTGGTCAGGACGAACTGCTTCCAGGCGCTGCATGCCCTTTTCCTCACGAGGAGCCCCAATTTGAATGCCTCGCTGTGCGCGAAGCTACTGGCCGCTATTCACGAATATCGACCGGATCGCAGCGACGTCCGGCAGACGCTCGCCTGGGTGACGGTCCTCAAGGAGGGCCATCAACACTTGGCCACCCTGCAGCTGGATCTTTGCATGCAGGCCCTGCCCCGCCTGATCGACGTGTGCACCACGGATCTGTGGCTCTCGGAGCGAACGGAGCTGGTTGTGGGTGTCTCGAACTGCATCAAGGAGCTGATGCAGGACTGTGTGGCTCGGGCATGTGCCACGGAGGACGATGCCCAGCGAAACCGGCCGAGTGTGGCCAAGATAATCGCCTCACTTCACAAGGTGCTGAATGCTCCCTTCGGAGAGATCTCCAAATACGTGATCCTCATCTTCTCCATTGTCTTTGAGGCCTGTGGCAAGCAATTTGGGTAAGGCTATAAAGTTTATTTACCTTAAATCCCAAAACTTAACTAACTTATCTGTCTTTCAGTTCGGAACTCACTCCCTCCCTGCTGACGATCTCCAAGCGGTACGACGCCCAGAGTGGACATCGTCTTCAAATCGAGCACACGCTGATCAGTGCCATCAAGGCTCTGGGACCCGAACTGATCCTGACAGCGATACCCCTGTCCGATGGCAAAGGTGGCATGCAGCTGGAGCGTTCCTGGTTGCTGCCCCTTCTCCGCGAGGGAGCCAACGGTGCCAGCCTGCAATTCTTCAAGGAGAAGATCGTGCCACTGGCCATGGACTGCCAGCAGAAGTGGAAGGAATTCACCGAGGCCAAGAACAAGTCTTCGTCTCACATCTATGAGCTGTTGTGCTGCCAGCTGTGGGGCTTGTTCCCTGGCTTCTGTCGCCAGCCAAGGGATCCGGAATACTTGCGGCAGCTGGCCCCCACCTTGGGTGCCGCTCTGGAAAAGAATCCAGAGTTCAGGGCTCCCATTTACGATGGTCTGATGGAGCTGCTCGACGACAGTCAGAGCGCGGAATGCCATCAGGCAATTGGCCTGTATGCCAAGAACTTTCTGCCTCGCCTGTTTAACATTTACACACAGAAACCGAATGGCACCTACGAGGCCGATCAGCGGAAGCGTGTCCTGGATGTCATCCGTTTGTATATCTCACGGGCGCCCGCTGACGTTCAACTGCAGCTCTTCGAAAACGCTCAAGGGCAATTGGAAGCCAGTGCCGTGGCCAGTTTTGAATACGACGCTCTGTTTGATATAAATGCTGCTATTGTGCGTGTGCAAAAATGCAAGGGAATTGAAGCTTACTTTGAGAAGTACATGGCTCCCATTCTGAGGAACGATAAGTCCAAATTGGTGGCCAAGGATGAGCAGAAACTGAAGAAGCAGCAGAGGAAGACCTACGAGTAAGTGTATTAATTGGTGAAAGTCTAAACCAAAGCTTATTTTGTTTTTCCTACAGACTCCTTCGGGAACTGGTGACCTCGGAGAAGGCATCGTGCCAGAAGTTCACCCGCAAGAACAGCATTGCCCTGCAGCAAATCCTTCTGGAAGCCTTCACCACCAGCTGCAACGTTTGCCAGGCATCGCGATTGTAGTAAGTTCAAGTGTACGAAGATCACAAGTAAGACAGCAGCTAATATATTCCTATTCCCGACCTCAGCTGCCTAAAATCCCTGATGGAGTGCCGCAGCAATCTGGCGTATAACGACCAACTGGTGATGAAGGCCATTCCCGAGGCTGTGCTGAACTACAAGGAGTTCTCCACGCGCAAGGAACAGGTGGCCGAGCAGCTAATCAAATCGATCACGCAACTCTACCAGGATGCGGGCAAGATCAACGACTTTGTTGACATCCTGACGGCCGGATTCACTGGCGACGAATCACTGGTGACGAACACAATTCTGGCCTTCAGAGCTGTGCTCCAGCAGCAGGGTCAACACTTGACGGTGGCCACGCTGGAGTTTGTCCTGCAGCAGGTCTCTGTTTTCCTCGTCCAGAAGTCCCGCAATCAATCGGAAGCAGCCGTAGCCTTTCTGATTACATTTATCAAAGTGATGCCCATACCACTGGTGGCCAATCACCTGGAGACGATTGTAAGCAATCCTTAGGTTCATAATTCATGCAGGTGATTAATTGGTTTATCCCTTTTAGATGCGCTCCTTGTCTGCCATGACCAAGGACACGAAGCGCTACTGCCGCATCCAGATCGGTTACTTCCTGAAGAAGCTTTGCAAGCGCTTCAGCACCGAAGAGCTGGCCCGCTTCGTGCCAGGTGATGATGAGGTGACCCACCGGCGGCTTAAGAAGATCCGCAAGCAGATGCGCAGGGATACGCGCAAGAAGCAGAGCGAGGAGGCCCAGGCGGATAGCTCCGATGAGGAGCTGGTCGGCGGTCTGGAGCAGAAGAGCTATACGTAAGTGATGACGCCTGTCCAAGGAAATTATCCAGACACTTTCACAACTCTTGTTTTCCCACAGCATTGATGATATTCTGGCTGATTCCGACTCGGATCTGCCCGAGGATATGGACGCCGAGGAGGAGGGCGGAGCAGCAACCAGTGCTAGCAAGCGTAACAAGAAATCCAAGCAGCAGAAGAGCACCTACATTCGCGAGGATCCCGATGAGATTGTCGATTTGGCCGATCTTAAGTCCATTGGCAATGTGCTGAGTAAGTTGGGGGGAAACTAAAATCAAGGGGTAATGGATATGAGAACTAAGTATGTTGTCCCATTTTAGCTAGTGGTTCCGGTCAAACGGCAGCCACCGTCAAGAGCCAGAAGGCGAAACCCCAGCTGCCGAATGGAGGCTTCAAGACTGCCGACGATGGCCGCCTGATCATCAGCGACAAGGCTCTGCGTGGCCAGGGTGGGAACGATGAGTCCGATTCGGACTCGGATTCGGATGCATCGATGGCCGATGGTACTGCCGTTAAGGAGCCAAAGGCTAAGCGCGGTATGGAGGACGATTCCAGCGACGAGGAGGAATTGCAACAGCAGCAGTCGACGGCTGCCAAGCGGACACGCAAGGGCGGCGATGCGATGAGCATGAAATCCGGCAAGACCACGGGCAGTAGTCGCTACACCGCCGGTGGCAAGGGCATCCATCGTCTGCTGGCAGCTGGTAACTCCGATGCCATGTCCGTGAAGTCAGGAAAGTCCACCGGCCGGCCAGCGGGCAATGAGTACAGCAGCAAAAAAGCCAAGGGTGACATGAAGAAGCGCGGGCAACTGGATCCATATGCGTACATACCACTCACCAGGAACAACTTGAACAAGAGGTTGGTAATCTATTATTTCCTAGATCTTCCTATACCGATCTCTGTCTAATTGTCCATCTCTTTCGCCCTTCCCCCCCCCACAGAAAACGTTCAATGAACTCGCGAAAATTCAAGAGTGTGCTGCGAGGAGCTGGCGCTGAAACCGGAGGAGGCGGCGGTGGCCGGGTGTCCAAGAAATACAAATAAAGTGGAGCAACTAACTAACTGGATCGTAAAGCTATAGAGATATAATATTAACACCGGGATAGTGCGGACGGCTGATAAGCAATCTAAGACGTTGATGATTATTTCCCCTGTGTTACCTTGCTACCTTGCTTAAATATATGATTACTATTAAATATGTATGCAGGCGGAGACGTTGTAAATGCCGGAGATAAACTAAAGAAAACAGATTAGTCATGTATTAGATGAAAACAGTTTTTTTTTCATTGTTGAGCTCTGCGGACTATGAATAAAGAAGTTGTGAAGCAAATTAATAGAGCGGAAAATAACTATTCGTCAAAATTTCAGTATACATCGTAAATATAAGATAGGCAAGCTCCATATATTAAAGTAAAGTATCTATGAATATTTATTATCGTAAATGCCAGAGTCAAAATACAGATTAGTGGAACAAAAAAAATCCTGATATATAAGCGAGATAATCTCAGACAGACACATCTTTCAGTGGTCAAACGCTCTGTTGAAAATCCTTTTCAATGTGTGTCCTGCTCCACTCGCCCTGGGGATCCACGCCAGCCATTGTCTCCTCAATGAAGTGCATTTTGTTGTGGCTATCCACCAGGATGACGGTGTGCGTCCGACTGCCATAGGCATGATCTTCGATGTGAACATTCAGGGCACTCAGTCCCTCGCCCCAGTTGGGCGCACGCCTCATCAGTTCGGCATCCGGCCAGAATTTGTGCTTGTTCCGGAGCAGCTGCATCAGGTGGGCGGAAAGGGTCTGCACACTGGACCCACCGTGCTCCTTCACTATCGCCTCGAACTGCTGCTGGCCGTGACGCACCTTCTCAAAGGGTGTGTGTGGCAGGCTGTTGCCGAATCCGTAGCACTCGCCGTTCCGGAACTCCTCCAGCGTGGGCGGCACATTGCTCAGCAGCTCCACGCGGGCGGGCAGGGATGAAGATCTATTGTAATATAATATAAACAATTATTATCATTATCATTAAAGCCGGGCAGGGATGAATATCTTTGAAAATATAATATAAAAAATCAATAGCTTTATTTTTGAGTTCACCTTAGCTCAAACAAAAGAATTCTTTATCTGTTTATGTCGAGTTAAGAAAGTGTTATTTATGGCAAGTAATCACCGAATTTATTGCAGTCCATAAACTGGTATTAATGGTTCATCCAAATTTAATCAAAATAAAACAAATAACATAAAGAACTGAAGACTTCTTTTGTAAGTAATAAAAATATTTTTTATAAAGCAGTTTTCAAATATAATTAATCGTGCTGTTTGGATAACAAAAGCCCAAGTTCAACACCTACATGCATTTACATTTTTTTCAGTTAATATATACATATTATTTCAATATTTGTCACTTTTTATGACAAAAATCGTAAGACCAATAACCAGAGGTCAAGTTCAACACCCACTCCTGTCCTTGCACTTCCAAATTTTTTCAGTTTAATATATAAAATGTTGCTACTTTAAATGTTTATGTTAAAATTTATAAGAAGTCAACAGAATCGAAAACTTTTATAATTTCTTTTTTAGTTCAAATGGATTTAAGGACATAGGAGACCTTGTAGACTCACCCAATCTCGATGGACACAAAGTTGAAGGCACTGTACTTGGTGCAGTCCTTGAGCAGTGACTGGTTGTAATTCTGGATGCTGTGCTCCTCGTCCGCCTGGGTGACGAAGTCGGCCACGATCATGCCGCGCCCTAGTAAGAAATGTTCGTTATTCGAATGCCCCTTACTCGGACTCAGATTCAGATTCGTATTCGGATGACTGTTGTTGTTGGAGGTGGTGGGCTTGGGGCAAAGGTTAATGCCGGTGCTGTTGCTGTTGTGATTATGCGGTTGCAAAATGTTCTTGTGCGCTTCAAAACGAAAACAGAAACGAAGAAAGTTGTTTTTTTTCTCTTGTCGCATTTGTGAAAGTTTTAGTTTGGGCCAAATGGATGGGCGGTGTGCGTATGTGTCTGTGTATTTTGGTTAGTAAATGGCTTAAATGGGGTTTACCGACTGCATCGCGGGGCTTGGGCTCGCCGGTCAGGTTGAGCAGGGCGCCCACCTTGAAGAAGCCCGCGGAGTGGCCGATGGCCAGCCAGGTGCCACCCTCGCGTCCCGGCTCCAGGTCTATTCCTGCAATCGAAATAGGGATATTTTTCAAAAATGCTAGAAAAAGATTGTACTTTCTGTTGAATTTAAATATATATGATATATTTATTGGGTTATTTTAAGTATTACAATTGTATCCGTCTATGAGTATGGTATATTTCAATAACTATTTCAATAGCATCCTTCTAAGGGTATGGAATGGACAAATAATTATCACAATACTCCTTTACCTCGGTGTAAAAAATATAAGTTCTTCAAATAGATTATAAACACGAGGCATTATCAAGATTTATAGAATTTGAAGTGCTTGACAGCAGACTATATTTTTTGTGAATACCTTTAGCGGAATATTTGAACTTTTAATATTCCGATATTTAAAATAGAGTCTTAAATATCCATAAATAAAATAAAAATGAAAAACTCATGCAATTGTACACATTATAATTTCTTTATATCTTTTTATGGGCTGTTCATAAGGAAATACTTGAGCTACTTGAAAAAAGTATTCAAGATTTTAAAAAATATTGATCACAGCAGTTCGTGGTAAAAAAAATCACAAAGGTCATTGGGTTTGATATGATAGCCAAGCTCCCAATAGGGATTTACTTACCCCCGTAAACATGCTCGGCATTCGCCCACTTGGCCGCCGATTGTGTGGCCCGGGCAAAGAACTCATCCCGATTGGAGGCCAGGATCAGCTTGTAGCCACCCACCTGCGGATTCGAGTCCGCACAGAAGAATATAACGCACATCCTATGTATATCCTATGGCTAAAGTCCGATATCAAGTAAAAAAAAACGATGCGAGGTGCTTAGAAGTCAGCGGACAACTGGGGATCTGAAAAAATTGGCTTCAATCTCGACGAGGTGTTGGCATCAAAATGGCAGGTCGTTCGGTTCTGTCTCCTCTTTGTTGCTTTGTGGCAATAGCTCTACGATGGGTTTATCACTAAATTAACGTACAGCTGATATGATATACAGTCTTATCCGTTGTTTACGAACGAAGCTAATCTAAATCGGTTAGTAAATGGGTTGGTCTGAGGTTGTTGGGTGTCTTGTATGGATCGTGCCCCTGTTTGAGATCTATTTACTTCCCAAAAACAGCCTATAATCGCGAACAAAGCAGTGTTTTCATTAATTTCGATGATGGGGCTCGCTTGTTTTGGTTTCACTTTTTATGTTTTTATTTTTTTAGCGTTGCCAGCTGACGGGAATCGATAAGAAATCGTTAACCCTCTGATGCCCCGCGGTAAAATTTATATTATATTTAATTTGACGGTCTTAGTAAGGTTACTCAAAACCAAAATTCCAGAGCCCATAACCTGACTAATGAATCCTTAGTGCCTTTTAAAAGGGTAGATCAGGGCCAATATGGATTCGTAATTATTTAAAAAATTGCTTGCTTTCTTCATTGGCCTTGTTAAAAAAAATTCAATCTAATTTTTATTTTTATTTTTAGTTTGATTCTGTTATTTCAAGTCCCTGACTTCATGGGTTAACATTTCAAAGTGGGGTACTAAAATAATATTTTATGCAACACGCGACCATCTAACAAACAAAAAAGGAAGCCAAAAAGAAAAAATAAATTATAAGAATAATAATAATATTTAAAATGCTGTTCAAAAACATAAATTAGTCTGAAATCAGCCAATAATTTTAACGAAAAATTCAAATTTGTTGAAGGGCAAAACATAAGTAGGTGAGTGTCTTCGCTAGGGCAGGCTGGTGAGTATGCTATGCCAAGAGGGTGTCTCCGCTAAGTCTCCTGACATTTTACAGTGACCGTTTGTTAACTACTTTCGGCATATCGATAGTTCAATCGCGAGCGAGGTCACACTGCAGAGCAGTACTAAAATCGACGTTAACATTTCTGATCAATTAAACTATAGAAAAACCCGGCCGTAGATCGCGCACTGACCGTACCGCCCTCGCCACGCCCACAGCCGCCCACGCCGCCACGCCCCCTGGCGCGGGTCACATCGATAGAGAGCCTCTGCGCGCGTGTGTGTGTGCCCAAGGAGAGGAAGAAGACGAAGAAGAAAAAAAAACAGGCAGGCGAAAAGCGATAAGAAACGGAATACACTGGAAGAAAAACCGCGATAAGGAACGGGGCAAGCGGAAATTGCCAAGATTCTGGGATGGACTAGTGGGCACAGCCGGATCTTGAGCTCAGCCAACCAGTGGAATTAGCAGGGACTAGGATCTGGATCAGGAACCGGGACGGGGACGGGGACAGGAACAGGGAGACACAACAGCCATGTCGTCCGCCGTGAACATCCAAATCGTCTCCATGCCGAACCTGGCCAAGATCGAGAGCTTCCTGAAGGATGTCAGCTACCGGGAGACGATCGAGTACAGTGCCAATTTCAACACGCGCCTGTGCATCGAGCGTCGCCTCCGGCTGCCCTTCCTCGATCCGCAGACGGGCGTCGCCCAGAACCACTCGCAGCTGTTCCTGGACAAGCGCCAGCGGATGCCCGGCTTCCGGCAGGGCCAGATCTACACGTATCCGGCGGCCCGCTGGCGGAAGAGCCGCCGCCAATACTTGAGCAAGATGTACAGGTGAGGATTCCCCTGGAACTCGTGGGTTACAGCTGGGATTCAATGTATTTCGGTGATAACTTATTGTATTTAGTTGTCAAATTACCCAAGAAATGGGTAAACACCGGTATTCCGTTCATAACATGGGTTATATCACCCAAATATCAGTTTTATTTACGGCTAGGAACATCGTATATAGATGATTTCTGGCGGATTCGGGCTCTAATCCTAGTTATAAAGATCAAATAATATTTGCAATTATTATTAATAATTGAATTTGATTTCCGATATTCTAAAGTACTTTTTTGTGTAGTAGTTTCTATTTATCTATCATTAAGATGAGCTGCCTGACTAACCATATTAATATCCACTCTTCCCCACCCACAGTCGCTTTCCCGAGCGTCCCTTTCAGGCGCTACGCAAGGAGCACGAGGCTCTGGTGGCCAGCGGTGTGAACATGGGTCTGAGCAGCCTGCCCAGCGGCGTGGGACCCCTACCCGGCAGCAATAGCCTGGCCAGCAGCTCCTCCCTGACGCTCAACATGCTCACTGGCGGCGGAGCAACGCCTGCGGTTCTGGGTTCCCTGCACAGCGACACTGCCCACGATTTCAATGGGGCCTTCAGCATGGAGGAGTCCAGCTCACTGGGTGCCGCCGGCGGTGATACATCCGACAGCAAGGACAGCCAACAGCAGCAGCATCAGCAACAACAGCATCAGCACCAGCAGCAGACCGTCAAGGAGGACCAGCTGCCCAAGGAGTGGTTCTACGATGACATAGACATGAACGATGTGGACTCGCTGGAGGAGCCCAAGTCGCCGGCGGACGATGAGTACGACTACGATCCGCGCTACGGGAACAAGAAGCGGCGTAAGCGACGGCCCGGAAAGCGAGGTGGCGACTCCGGTGGTGGTGGTGGTGGAGGCGGCGCCGGTGGTGGTGGCAACTCCGGCGGCAGCTCCAGCTCTAGGAGACGCAGTGCCGCGGTCAGATCACGTATCACCACGACGGATGCGGCGCTGGACGCCTCGCTGGAGGCCATCGAGTCCGGTGAGAGTGTGCCGGGCAGCAATGGCGGCCCAGTCGCCGGCGTTGGCATCCTAAGCGGCAGTCTGGGAGCCGGCTTGGCAGGTGTGTCCGCAGCCGGTGGCGTTGGAGGAGGAGGTGGAGGAGGATCAGGAGCCTCGGCCAACAGCCGGCGATCCCGGGGAGCGGGAACACGCGGCCGGCGACGAACCAAGGGACCAGGCGGAGCCGTTGGAGCAGCCTGCGATCCGTCGAGTCCCGGCATGGTCATCGAGCCGCCATCCTTCGAGAGTGCCGCAGCCGCGGTGGGCGTTGTCGAGGACGCGAACGCCCATCTGCGCAACTATCGGAAGTATCTGTAACCGCTCTTTCAACAACCAATTCGTCGTGTAATCAATCAATCCCCTGTTTTCGCATTGTTTTCCCTCGCCTATCGACCGTTTACCTATTCGCATATAATTTAAAGTTACTCTATGGACTTAGTTGACCAGCGACAAAAAAAAGATACAAAAATTAAAAGAAAAAGAGAAGAAAAGAATCAAATCACCATTGTGGACCAGGAACAGAAACAGGATAAGGATCAGGATCACGATCAGAACCGCGCACCAGGCCGTAGCCAATACAATTCCAATGTTTCGCCTCTCTTAACTTTATGTTCCCATAGCCAATTGATTGTTGTTTTTTGAAATACCAATGGACAGGCGAACTTCCCTGCCAGAAAACTCGAGCAGAAACGGGTGTAGTTTCTACAGAGATCTTGTACAACTTTAGGTCTGTGAAACCTATAGGTAATCTAAACCTTTGCAGTTTCCTTTAGAGAAGTTCGCCCGTCCATATAATTATATTGTACATTTTATATATGAGTGTACAGGCATTATACATATATATTTACATGCATTATATTAGCGACTCTACTTAAGGCCAGTCAATCTTTTCGACTGGCTCTCCACCTAATCGCAATCTCTCGGTTTCTGTTGCTGCATGTTCTTTGAAAACTATTTTCTCTATCTCTCAACCCCCCCAAATATTATATTCAATTTTTTTATTTAACCAAAAGTTTAGTTAAAAAAGGAGACAATTCAAATTGTAATCTATTTAGGCAAGTGGTAGGGTATCTCTAGCATATAGAAGAAGCTAAAAACAATTTCGTAAAACCAAAATTTTTTCTCTAGAATCATAATTCTTAAGCTGAGCTGATGAAACGAAAAACAAATTTTAACAAACTGAGGAAAGGATAAAATAAAAACAAAAATCAAAAAAAAAAAAAGTTATGTACATTTTGGAAGAATCAAAGTCCACAAAATTTTAATAAATGAGAGGCAAAAATCAGACAAAAACTAAAACCCACAAGAGGAGGCAAAAAAAATGGAAATAGGTTTCTAAGATGTTTTAATATATTTTGTAATAACAATTGTGTAAGTGTTTTTTCTTGTAGTTCGGAGACACAGAAAAAACCAACCAGCAAAGGCAAAAGGTAGTCTCAATGATCGGTTCCTCGAGAGGATTTGCCGGTCATCAATCATAAGGCTCTATTGCTGGTGGGATTTCTCGGTGGCGACTACTTTCGGCGCTTGGAAGCGCTTGAAGATTCATCTGTGGAGGATCTGGTGGTTCGCTTGCGCTTTTGACTGCTTTGGGGCTGGTCTTCATCGATTTCTGGCTGGGATTTGGCTGTCTTTGTGGGCTTCTTTTGGGCTTTTGGCTGTCTCTTCGTTTTGGGCGACTCCTGGGATTCCTTTGAAGGCTCCTCTGATGGATCCTTGGATTTCTGCTCTTCCTGGGATTTGATTGGCTGCTCCTTGGACTCCGGCTTCTTTTGGGATCCAGAAGGCCTGTCATCCTCTGACTCCTGCTCCTTGGACTCAGGCTCGACACCCAAAATCCCCCTGATCCGATCGTACACCTCCTCCACATTGGGAAACTTAAGAGCACGTGGTGGCCCCCGCTTTAGACCTGACCAAAGTGGCACCAGCTCCTGCTTCCCCGAACCCGGGCGCAAATCCAACTCGAAGGCGCCGCGCCGTGGTGCTCCGGACGCATTCAGCCGGAGCTGAAGTTGGGGAAGACCACGCTCCCGCAGGCCGGCGTGCAGATCCTCCGCCCGGCGACGAAAGACTCGTCACGATCGGCAGTGCTCCACGTAGAGCACCGGTTCGTTGGGATCCAGCTCTTCGGCCACATCCTCCCGAGCGGCAGGCTCCTAGCAAGGGTTGATGGAATTGTCAGACAATTGGAAACACACAATACAAATAAATTACCACTGCTTTTTTGGTCCGTTTCGGTGGCATGTTAGTTTGCAATTTTTAAGTAAATTGCGCGCTTTTATTTTTAGTGTTACCAGATGCTGGAATGTTTTCCACCCTCCCAACAACATACATACAAACATGCCCCATAAGTACTTAACCTTTCTGCCAGAGGGCGCCACCAAGGCAATTTAAAAGTTTGGGGAGTATCCCAACTATCAAACACCCATCTCTAGAAACTATCAATTATCGATTGCTATGATTTGCAAGGGAAGCCAACGCGCGCCATTTTCTAAACAAAATATTTGTGAAACTTAATTAAGCACTCTCAGCTTTTAATTTCATCCAAGATGTCGCACTACATGCCACGTCGCACCAGCGAGTTCCGCGGCAAGGTGCTGGAGGAACGAGGCACCGCCGACAAGCGACAAACCAGGTGAGTGATCCTCGGGAGCGCCAGGAACCAGAAAGATTTAGACCATGTTTATCCTTTAACCAGGGCAACAAAGCGCAGCGCAGCCTCACACACTCCCTCCTCCAGCCAGGTGGTTCCTCCCAGAAGGTGGGTACACTCCCCATATGATAATCCCCCAATAACGCCTCACTCTAATCCTCTCCAGACCCTCTGCATCGCGTCTGCCGCAGCCGCTGAACCTGGAGCGTGATCGCTTCACCCAAATGAGTGTAACGCCCAAGCATGGCCCACGACCTTTATCCACCGCCACGCGTGCATCGCAGTCGCAGAACCTGGAGCGCGATGGCCTCACCCAAATGACTGTGACGCCCAAGCATGGCCACCGACCGGCGCCCTTCACCGCGGAACGCCCCGTTGCCCCGCACTCGGACAAGAAATGGGTGGCGGAGCGGGCTCAGCAGATACTCTGCTATCTGCAGGACATCAATGAAAGCATGGCAACCACTTTGCCCATCTCGGATTTGTTTAACCGCCCCGGCGGACTGCGGCACATGACCATCAAGCAGTTTGTGTCCATACTCAACTACCTGTTCCATCACATCTGGCGGAATAAGGTGACCGTGGGCCAGAACCACGTCGAGGACATCACAAGTGCCATGCAGAAGCTGCAGTATCCCTATCAGGTGAAGATAATACAGTCCTTAATAATTCTTAACCAATAACTATATCTCAACGTGTAGGTAAACAAATCCTGGCTGGTTTCGCCAACCACATCGCATTCCTTTGGCCATGTCATCGTGCTGCTGGACTTTCTCATGGACTTTGTACCCTCCTCGGATGAGCCGGGTATGGACTTCCCCTTCATGGAGACCACCGAACAGCCCAGTTCGTATCTGAACAGCGTGCACTGCGAAACAATGGCCACCATGACCACCACCACCGCCCAGATGCAGGCCGTCCAGCTGGATGAGGAGGTCAACGCTTTGCTTTTCGCCGAGGCCAGCAAATGCATTGTCCTGTGGGATCAGGAGCTCAGCGAGGAGGAGGCCAAGCTGCAGGCGGAAACCAGAGATCAGCTAATAGGCAAGAAGTGTGATTTGCCCGATCGACAGGCGCTGGACCAAGAGATCGACGATCTGAGGGTGAAGTTGCAGCAACTGGACGATAAGCTGCAGCATCCCAGCGATGGCACTAAGCTGGAGAAACTCGAGCATCTCACCAAGGAGCAGAATCAGCTCACCCAACAGCTGGCCGACAGCCAAGAAGAGCTGAAGCAGCAGCTGATCCTCTGCGATAAGCTAGCCGCTCAGGCCGAGGAAAAGCAGGCTAATCTCCGCCAACAAATGAAGTACGAGCATCGCCTGGAGCAGGCGGTCAACAACCAGAAGTACACGGCTCAGCAGCTGAATACGCTCCAAATGGAGAGCAACGATATCGAGAACTACTCCAAGGCCTATGAGCGCCAGGTGAAGGAGGTGTCCGACCTGGAGCTCCACCAGCAGGTTATGCTGTCGCGGGCCAAGCAAAAGCTGTTGGATTGCGTTGAAGGCTTCAACTCGCGTGCCCGCCACCTGAGCGTAGATCCGGCAATAGGCGGCCTAATGAAGGGCGGCGGTGATCAGCAGTTCGACCTAACGCTGCCTTTTAATCCCGAGCAGGAGGACATCTCCAAACGGATTCAGTGCCTGGACCTGCTGGGCAATCTTCTCCAGCAGCAGTGTCAACAGAATGTCGAGCGGCGTCAGATGTTGGATCAGCAGGTGGACAAGATAAAGTGCGACTCCCTGAAGTTGGACACGGAAGTTGCCAACTTGGAGTCCCGTCTACAGGCACAAAAGCATCGCCTGGGCAAAGTGGAGGCGGGCTATCGCACCAAGCGCGACATGATGGTACAGCACAAGCAGCAGCTGGCCGAGGATCAGTGTGATCAGATCGCCCGTCTGGGGGAACTGGAGAAGCGGCAGCAGGAGGCGGAGGAAAAGCTCCAGGCGAGCGTGAAGAAAAACGAAGATCTGCTTGACGGCGCTGAGTTGTTTCAGGAGGAGGACCACAAGGCCCGCAATGCCCATCTCGACGATTGCGAGCTGAAGCTGGCCGAAGCTGAGAAGGAGCTGCAGGCCCTGAACTCCAAGCTCACCGTGAGCCGGGCCCAACTGGAGGAGGCCGAGCAGAAGGTGTACTCCAATCCGCTGCCCTCCTTTGAGCCCGTCTTGGAGGCCTTCAAGAAGCGCTGAGCCAGTCATTTCTGTTTTTATATAAAATTTAGAATTATGTTTAAGTTCAAATAGAAGATCAAGTTAGATGTGTTACTCCATTATGAAAATTTGGTTGTAACCTTTATTTGAAATGTTGTTATTGAGTATGTATGTATTGAAGTGTATTAATGAAGTGTTTTTATATTAAATAAATCCCTAAGAACATTAATTTCACCACATTAGTTAATTTTTTACTCTGGTGCTCCTGTAGTTAAAAAGCTATGAATATTAACCATTATTTTAACCTATGTATATTCTATGGCAACCATAAAAATGTGATTTAAATGCGCAAAATCTTCCGATACTCTCAGGAATTTGGAAAGTGTAAACGTTGACGACATTAAACTTTGCAAATTCCTAATTAGAATCAAAAATCTACACGGATCGAGCGATTGTATATCATAGCTGTTCGATTAAAATATGACCAATTTCGTTATACTTTAATAAACCTTGATGTTTTTGGTTTAATATTTTAAAATTCGTTAAATTTGCCAGGATTGATATTATGGCTAGGCCAAGATTAAAGATTTGGTTTAAAAAAACAAATATTTTATTTTTATAATAATTTATTAAGTGTAATATGTATTATTAAATACGAGCCAATCTTAAAACTGAGAAATAAGCCAATTTTGTATCTACATATATGGTGAACTACCTTTAGAAAACACCCAGACTGTTTATTCTCAGGTCGCTGTAGCTTAATTTTGCACCTCCAGCGATTCAAGAAATGCCCCAATCCGACACAAAAGCCCCAAAAGTCATCATATTTCAAAAGAAAACTGAGAATTCTCCTCCAATCGGGACCCCAAAATAATGATAATGAAAATCGGACAGTTCTTAGAGTATTCTTAGAATAACTATACGTATATAATTAAAATTGGGGGCTGGTTGGGGGATACATATGTGCATGTGCGTGCTTGGGTAAGTCTTGGCTCGATTTCTGTTAGTATTATATGTCTGCATCCGAGGCGATGCTAAAATGCTTTGCAAGTAAACAATGCTTATCACACAAACGCCAGTGCTGAGGGTCTCGTCTCCAGCTCCGTGGGCACAATAGGATGAACGGACGCGACTACAGGCTAAGTAACTAGGACTACAGAGTGTTGTGGTGGTGGAGAGCTCGGTTGGCACTTGAATGGCGGTGTCAGGAGTCCGAATCCAGGCGGCTACCAGCTAATGGCCACTGGCTACTGGCTGCTCCGTTTGATCCGCTCGACGTGCAGGTCGTAGAGCATCTTGTTCTTTTCGTAGTAAAATGGATTCTGGTCAGCACCCAGTTCGGGGTTGTACTCGTAACCGGCTGCATCGGGGCCACCAGGGCCACCGCCGGGGGCACCAGCTGCTCCTCCTCCTCCTGGAAGGGGAGGAATACTGCAGCTGCTGCTGCTGCTGCTATTCCCGTCGTCGTAGTTCAGGTGCAGGTTGTTGATGCGCTTCGAGAGTGGCGTCGATTCGCAGGGCAGATCGTCCTCCCGGCTGCGCTTCCTGTGGAGGATTAAAAGGATGGGAAGTGGTGAGAATGGTGTTCCTTGTGCCTGGCCTGTCCTGGTCCCTGATCTGACCGACTAACCGTGTCTTCAAAAATCCAGCCATTCCGATTCCGGGGCCAGCGAATTGGTTGTTCCTTTTCTTGGATTGGATTGACTTATTGTTTTGTTCTCTTCTGATATTCTCGCCAACCTTGTTAAGCGAGTATCGATAGTATCGATGTATCGATAATATTCAGTATTTCAGCTTTGCGAAGCACTGTCAAGTGCTTTTGTATACCTTATAAAACTAGTATCTATCAGTATTTCTCTATCACATTCTCCGTAATTTAAAAAAAATTTATATTTTCTAAAAACAAATCGAGTGTTTTTATCCGAAATTGAAGTAGAACTTAAACTTGATTTATTACGTTTACGAGTGACTGTGGCCATTTGATGTTCCTCTAAATATTCTACAAGTTGCTACAGCCTTTTAAATCTATACTAGCTTCAACGTGCAAATCGAACATAAGTATAATAATTCCTAATACCTGAAGAACAAATTCCTTTAACCGTTTGTAGATACTGCGACCATTTATACTTATTATGTGTTTAACAGCTAGTTACTTACATTTTTTATTTGACAATAAAAATTGTGGAATATCCAATAATATCCAAAATTAAAAAAAAAACAATAGAACTTGCTGATATACCGTAGATAATGTAGTAATACCTGCAAACAAAAAAAAATATACCATTTACGAATGGCACTCTGCCCATTCGCTGCCCCATTGTTTTTTTCTCTCCACATTCTATTCTACAACTCCGATCTAAAGGGATCTATAGATATATATCCGTCAATAGCTTCCAAAAATACCGAAAATACCAGCTCCGCAAGCCGGTTGGGGGCACTGCCGCCAGGTGGCAACGCCGCGCTAGTCACTCGCACGCAAACAGCTCGCTGGAGAGAGAGAACACGAACACACAAAAGGAAATAGTAGTTTTCCGTACGTACGAATACGAATACGAATCGAATCGAGCCCAGCCCAGAAAAGCGGAAAACTCGGAACGGACTCGCTAGCGGTTGCAAACTTCCATAAACTGTAAGTAGAAAATGTGCCTGATCGCGCGGGGCACAAAGAACAGTGACAAATCTAAGAATTACCCTGTGAAAAGTGAATGAAAACGGAGCGAAATGTCGATGACGGGCCTGCTTGTATGTGTGTGTGTAGTGTGTGTGGGTCGTGCGCCAGTGTGCGTGTGTGATAAATAATTGGTTCCGAATTTCATTAGTTTTTAGCCTGCAAAAGGCCATTATTATCTGGCCATAAATGCTAATTACGGAACAAAACAAGTAAACAATGGCAGCTGACTGGGCGGCTGGTCCCGTGATCAAATAAATAAGCACAAATAATAGTAATAGTGCAGTAAAAACTGCATTTCTCGAGCAAGTGAACACGCACTGCACACGCACACCACTGCAGGCCGCCCTACTCGCTGTGCGTGTGTGCGTTGGTGTGTGTGTGTGTCCAATCAGAATTTTCTGATGCCCGTCCGGCTTATCTGTGTGCGCATTTGCTTTCCGTTCTTTTCGTTCTTTCTTCGGCTTGAGTCATCGAATCGGTCTGCCCAGATATGTGCGCTGCTCCGCATAGAATAGATAATAGATAATAGATAAGGGGGCCCGCGACGAACGGTCACACTGAAAGGAGTAGGAGTAGCAGGAGCAGGACAGGACATGACCGCACCCCAGTCCGGCAACCCCGTTCGCTGCCGTTTCTCACTTTCATTTGATTTCTGCTCTGTTCTGACTATCTGAGACTAACCCCAATTGACTGAATCCACAGGAGTCATTAGCCAGCCCCTCTGCACAACAACATGCAAACCATCAAGTGCGTGGTCGTCGGCGACGGAGCCGTGGGCAAGACCTGCCTGCTCATCTCGTACACAACCAACAAGTTCCCCTCGGAATATGTGCCCACGGTCTTCGACAACTATGCGGTGACCGTGATGATCGGCGGGGAGCCCTACACACTGGGCCTGTTCGATACGGCCGGCCAGGAGGATTACGATCGCCTGCGTCCGCTCTCCTATCCGCAGACGGATGTCTTCCTCGTCTGCTTCTCGGTGGTCAGTCCCAGTTCCTTTGAGAATGTCAAGGAGAAGGTGAGGTGTACTTATATTTAATGGTTTCTATATGACTAATCCTTGGTTTCCGCCTCTCCTTAGTGGGTGCCCGAGATCACACACCATTGCCAAAAGACACCGTTCCTGCTGGTGGGCACACAGATCGATTTGCGCGACGAGACCAGCACGCTGGAGAAGCTGGCCAAGAACAAGCAGAAGCCCATCACCATGGAGCAGGGCGAGAAGCTGGCCAAGGAGCTGAAGGCCGTCAAGTATGTGGAGTGCTCGGCCTTGACACAGAAGGGCCTGAAAAATGTATTCGACGAGGCCATACTGGCCGCCCTGGAGCCGCCAGAGCCGACAAAGAAAAGGAAGTGCAAATTCTTATAATTCCTCAATGCCCCCTCCCTCCCCCCTACAACACCAGCCCCAACACGATGATGTATCCCTTTCATTCTGGCTTTCTACTATCGCAATGACTCCTTCCCAGCCTCCAAGAAAAATGTCGAGAAGCGTTCAATATATATACGAATATATATATGTGTATATGTGTTGATTTATGTTATTCTGCAATCGTTTCTCCCGGAGCGCCCAGTCCAGCCCAGTACTCCAGAAGCCACTTTGCCTCCTCCATCTGCCCCTGTCTCTGTCTCTCTCTCTGTCTGTCTCCCTCTTTCTTCTTTCGTAGCCCCGAATCTGTGTCAGTAATGTCCGTGCTCCTCCTGCGGAGCCACAATTAGCCTGGTTTTTATTCGGATTTTATGATTTACCCACTGTCCCAGCCGACTGGGCAGTGGCTTTTAACTCGGGGACCGTCTTCCGCCCCTCAAAACTTCAACCCAATCCCAGCCAAGAGCCGAAAATCCAATCCCAGCCAATGCAACCCCGCCCAGCAGTTGAAATCAAAGCGAAAAACCGACTTCATTGCTGCTCGCATTCTTGTTTTTGGCGCAATCTTCTTATTAAGTAAAGAGAGAAAACACAATATCAATATAGCGAAAACAAATTATTTATATATATTTCTTTATATATATATACAAGAATTAAGGAGGAGACAACAAAATATAAAGTTATTATAAACAAAACAATCCAGAACAAACAAAAACAAAAAAGGAAAAAGGAACGGAGAAACCATGCAATTTTTGTTTTGCATCACTCGATAGGAACACTTGCAATCCAAGTCTATATAGTCCCAAGAGCAACGTGAAAAATAAACAAGTCGCAGTCGAGGATTATATAAAATATTTATGATTACTGATGGCGTAATGTTCAAACAACGGAGGTAGGAGGGAATTCGCTAACATGCAAATATGAAAGTGAAGCTTATTATGTAATAAAAATAAGAGTATTGAAATATGATTAAAAATAAATTAAAAGAAAACTAGGCGTTGCATCCACAAACACATCTGAAATCTACAATCTATATAAAAAAATATATATATATATATTTAAATATGTATAATCCATAAAGTATAACAATAAAACAAACCGCAACAGCAAGAAAAATTTGTATTGTAGTTCAGTAAAAAACAACAAAGAAGAAGAGAAAATACGAACTAATGCATTTTTTAATATTTTTATATGTATACATTATCAATTTTTACATTTTTTTTCTAGACCTTAGTGATTTAACATTATTGATTTCAGATAATATCTTATAATAAAACGAAATCCAAAACGAAATGATTATTTTCTGTGTGAGCAAAGGAGGAAAAACAATTAGTTTGTGAAAGGGTGAGCAATTTAACAAATTCATCAGCATTTCAAGAGAATTTTCTGATCGTATGCGTTTTTAACATTTGTACAATCTTCATGTGACGAACATTTCCAGTAATTACTTTAAAAAGTTGAAAAGAGTAAGTGATAAAACACCAACTGAATCTTATGCTAATGTTAAAGCCACAATTCTAAATTTAGATGCCCAAGGATTTATGGATATAGTTTCCCAACATCTTTGTTAAGGACACAAGTTAATAGAAAAACCCTTTCTGAATGGTTTCCAAATGGTTTTGTGTTTTAGCCAATAACAAATGAATGCCTCTCTATAGCGTAAAACAACATGGCTTACAATTTAAAAGATTTAATTTCCTCTAATAACAATATTAAACTTTTTAAAGAAAGTCTAACTCTAACTTCTCATAAGAAAACAAAAACAGTAACATCAGCTTTGACCAGATGGGATCATAAGCACAGTGGCTGGATCCACTTGCACTTAAGTGCCGCCGCGGTGACAGCCTCCTCTTGCGATTCCGCGAATCCCGCGCTGCCCTGGATCTCGATCTGGTCGTAGTCGAAGCGCAGACTGCCCTCCTTGCCCTGCAGGAGCTGCTCCACCCCGTGCCAGGCGATCATCACCCCATTGTCGGAGCAGTAGCGTTTGGACGGCCGGAAGCTCCTCCATCCGTACTGGGCGGCCAGGTGTGCGATATTAGCGTAGATGGCATCGTTATTGGCCACCCCGCCGGACATGACCAGTGTGGGCGGGGAGTCGCCAAAGAGCTCCTGCACCTGCGGCAGAAGGCAGTACTCGATGGCCCGCTGGGTGCGGTGCATCAGGTGCCGGCTGACGGCGCGCAGCAGACCGGCGCAGAAGTCGCCGTAGTTGCTGATGACTCCGTCCGGTGGCGTTCGCTCCAGCCGCTCGCGCGTCCGTATGGCGCGGAAGGAGTTGTTCTTGATGCCGGCAAAGCTGAAGTTGCAGTTGCGCTGCTGGGCAAGTGGCAGCGGAAAGTCGTAGGCCTGCGGATCACTGGCCAGCTGGGCGGCGTGCTCGATGGCTCTGCCGCCGTTCCACAGGCGATACTCGGGCAGGATGTGCAGGCGCAGTCGGCGTCCGATCTTGTCGAAGGCCTCGCCGGGCGCATCGTCCAGCGTTTGGCCAAGAAGGGTGAGGCGACCTGGTCCGTGGACCATTACCAGCTGGCAGTGACCGCCGCTGGCCAGCAGGCAGAGAAACGGGAAGGGAATCTGCTCCGGATGCTCCATGCGGGCCTGCAAGGCATGCGCCTCCATGTGGTGGACGGGCAGCAGGGGCTTCTGCAGGCGACGGGCCAGATGCCGGGCGAAGCGCAGGCCCACCAGCAGGCTTAGTGGCAGCCCGGGACGCGTGGTCACCGCAATGGCCGTCAGCTCATCCGGCTCCAGTTGAGCCTCCGCCAGGCAGCGCTCGAATGCTGACTCAATGCGGGCGCGGTGCAGGTCCTGGGCCCTGGGTGGAATGATGCCGCCGTATCTGCAAAGGTGTCTGGTCAATCCGCTGATCCGCTTCTGGAGAAGTGCGTCCCGGTACTCACCGCGTGTGGAACTCCTGCTGGGACTCTAGCACATTCGCCCTCACCCGGCCGGCGGTGTCCACGATGGCGATGCCCGTGTCGTCGCAGGAGGTCTCGATACCCAGGACATAGCTGAGGCGGCGTCTGACCCCAACTCCAAAAGCTTTTCCAACTGGAATTCCATTGCCGGCTAAACACCTGAGTGCATGCATAATAGGGTGGGTAAAACAACAAGCAATCGAAGCTATCGATCGTTTTAGGTATCGATAGAATCGCTCTGGGGTTTTTGGTATTTTTGGAAAACAACATTATGTTGGTATATTTCTTAAGCCACAGCGGTGTTTAAACTTTATTTAAATAATTTACCAGTATTTTTTGAAAAATTGTATATAAACCATTTAAAAAGTTTCCAGACCTGGTTATTAAAATATTTTAGAAAGCTACTAGCGAAAATTTACTTTAAAAGTCTTAAGTTCTGATATCAAAGAAATAAAAACCTTACGCCGAAAATAAAGCCCCAAACTTTCGTACAAAAAATGTATGACAAAGAAATTACCGTTAACTTTAGAAATACTTTTAGCGATAATGCTATCTCTTTATCTGAACAACTTTATAAATGCTGCTTGCCTTTAATGGTTGATTAAGGAATGGGAATAAGTACATGTTTTTAACCTTTGCTAAGTATTGTAAAAAGTGGTTATGTACAGGTGTCTTGTTATTGGTTTATTATTCTCAAATTGAATTTTGGACTTGTCTTTGTCGGTTACAACTAAATAATAAATAATATTGGTTTCAATCAGAAAATGCCACCCGCCGATTCGCAGGAAAGGTGGTCCATTCCGTTGGTTGTTTATCCGGAGATGCATCCACGTACACGTAACACCAAAACCAAAACCCACACGCACACGCACATACAGAAAGTTCCGGACTTGCACATTAGCCGGTCGTACAGAGATAGGATTCTTCTAAGTTAGTGGATATTAAATACATTTTGGCCTCTTAGCGCTCATAGTAGACGCGATAGTACAGAGTCTTGGAGCGCCAAATGCTGTAGCTGTTGTCGAACTTCAGCAAGTAGACGCCCTCGCCGGGGTAGGAGTGGGAACCCACGTAGACTTCGTTGTAGCACTCCCGCCGGTAGATGGGCACGATAATGGAAATGGGTGCTTTGGGCGGGGCAGTCGGGTTGCTCACCGCACCGCGCTCCTGCGACAGCGAGCCCGACTCCAGGTCCTCGGTGGTGGACAGGTAGTCCTCGTCCACGCAGTCCTCATCCTCGTCGGAGTCGCTCACATGTACGGTCACCTCGTTGGTCACCGGCTTGGCCCACTCGAAGTATATGCCGAAGCCGATGTCGTAACTGTCCGTGGCGAACTCCCAGAAAATGCACTTGCCGTTCATGTTGGTGGGCACACGGACCTGTGAATTGCCAGAATCAAGATCCTTGCTTTTGAAAGTAGCTAAAGTACAAACTCACCGTCACCGTGTCGCCGTGACCGATGGTAATGACGCCGTCGCCATCGCCAGCAGACACCTCAGTCTTGAACTGTTCGATGTCGGGACGTGTCCAGATTTTTGCCGGGCAGATCATAACATAGTCGTCGTACTCTTCCTCGCCAAGCTGTTCATTCACGGTGCCGTCAGCCTGCTCAGCATGACCGTGCTGCTCTACCGCCTCCTGCTGAGTCTCGATCTCGCCGAGCTTTAGGCCTTCCATGGCATTGGGCAAGTCTGTGTTGCTGTTGTTGTTATTGCCAGGGGCATTGTCCTCCTGATGACCCTTTTCCTCTGCGTTCTGCATCTGAAGCTGATTCTGGTTCTGCAAATGGAGCTGCTGCATGTACTGGTGGTAATGCTCCCGCTGCAGCTGATGTATCAGCACTGCCTGTTGCTCGGGATTGCCTGGGAACTGCTTCTCGGCGTACAGCTGTGAAAGGAGTAAGTGAAGGGTGAGTGACAAGGACACGACAGTGGTCAATTGCCTGAAAACTGGGTCATGACCCCCATTCAATGGCAGGGAACCCAGCAATTAGCATGCATTATTGAGCACGACAACAGGTGCAAAGGGGCCAGAGTGTCTAGTGGTCAAACAAAATCGATGGACTGTCTACCTTAAACTGCTGGTACGTCTGCTTGTTGAGGGCGTCCTGCAGCTGGCGGCGCTGCAACTCCTCCTTGTAGCCCTCCTCGAGCAGCTCCTGCTGGGCGTTCTCCTGCCGTTCGCGCGCCTCCTTCTCCTGCTCCATGAGGCGCAGCTCCTTGCGCAGCGTCTCGTCGCGGTCCTGCCGCACGGCCTCGATGTACGGCCGAAAGGCGCTGCACATGGTGTCCAGCAGGTCGACGAACCCCTCCATCGCCTGCTCCCGGGTGATCTCGCCCAGGAGCTGCCAGTGCTGCTGGCGATCGCGTCCGATCACATCGAGGACGCCCAGCGCGGGGGCACGACTCGTGTTGAAGGGTCCCAGGGCCGCCTGCTGCTTAAAGGCGATCAGCTTTAGGTTGTCCTCGTACGACAGGTGGATGGCCTTGCCGGAGTTCCCTGTGGGTGGGATAAGGGTGGTATTACATGCTAGGAATGGCCGGGCAGCCGAGGTCGGTCACTCACTCTTGTAGAACGTGAATGCCAGGCGGTAGAGCTCGGTGAGGGGAAAGCCCCACTTTTCCGCCGACGGTGGCGCCGTCGAGTCCGCCATCTGTGCCGCTCCGCTGCTGCTACTGCTGCCGCCGCTCGTCCCGCTTGTCCCGCTCGCCATACTGCCGTCGCTTGTGGTTTATTCCACGCCTGCTGGCCTGCAAACTTTTCGCACAAAACAAAACAAAATAATAGAATGAATTGTGACGTAGAGTTGTCAGACTATCGTTGGCACTATCGATACTATTGATGCATCATCGATGATTTGAGAGCTGACGATAATTTTGTCACCATATATAATAACGGTGTTCTTAAACGGTCAAAACAAAAAAGTAAGGGTGCTCCCTAAATTGTTGAGCTGCAAAATTAGTCAATTTCGGTCAGCTGGTTATTAGCTCTTTGTCAGACCTTCCTTCAACTCATGAAACCCCGAGTATTCCCTATTATTTTGGTATCACATTAATTTGAAATAAAATTATGGAGAATATTTTTAGTTTACTAAAAACTTTGGACATTACAAAAATATATTATGCATATTTTAAGTTCCGACAAATTTGACAACTAATTGCAGCTACTTGAAAATTCAACCGGTACACTTTTTTAATAGAATAGTTATTACCCAACGTTTACTTACATTGGTTTGCATTAAATAATTTTGAGTTTTGTCATTATATTTGATTTAAAAAACCTTCATCGGATTATTAAAGAATACCCTTAATTTTCGAACTATTTTATCGGTACCTCGCAATTATCGCCAGCTTATCATCTCTATTGTTGTGGCCGGATTTTGGATTTCACACGTGCCGTGGAATCGTGTTGTTTTCTGTAAATAGATTACCGAAAACCTACCTGACGATGGCCAGCACTCGGTTCTTCTTGGCTGATCTGCCGGACAGGACCGTGGAGACGGACCTGCACAGCCTGTTCCAGGACTACGGCTATGTGGAGCATGTGGATCTGAAGCGGAAGGAGCAGGATGGGGTCACCAAGGTGATTGCCTTCGTCACCCTGCAGACAGATGATGCCCAGTACTGTGAGTTGACCAGATGGACAGTGAAAGAGGATCGAAACGAAGTAACCACATCTTAACTTTGCAGGCGTCAACGAGCTGAAATGGCAGCAGCTGCACGGCGAGAAGCTGCGTGTGTCCCTGGCCAGGGAGTCCTTTCTGGACCGACTAAAGCGGGAGCGCGAGGAGAACGAGCGGCGGGAGAAGGGCGAGCCAGCCGAGACCGATGTATTCACGGAGAAATCCCAGCTATTGGCCCAGAGCAACCAGAACAAGCGCAGGGTTTTCGGCGAGGATGAGGAGATCGGCGACGACGAGGTTTCTGCGGATCTGCTAATCACCAAGAAGCGCGCCGCCCACTCTATGCAAAACGGCCGGGTAGGCATCTGCTCAAGGAACCTTCTCAACTCATTACTCATCCTAACCGCCTTTCTCTCTTCTTACAGATTGTCATACAGCAGGAGTTCGACGCTAAGCCGCTACACGTCATCGAACAGCACCGCAAGCCAGCCAAACAGCAACCGGACACCCAGGTCAGCCAGGCGGAGCAGAAGCGGAAGGAGTCGCTCAACAAGATGCGGCAGGGGCACCAGCAAAAGAAGTCCGCCATCCAGCAGGCGCTGTCTGCAATATCCGTGGACGGCGGCCAGTCGAAGAGGATCAAGTTCAGCGACCCGGAGGAGGAGGAGGAGGCCAAGCCCGCCCAGAAGTCCAAAAAGCAAAAACGCGATCTCTTCGAAGGCGACGAGGATGAGGAGGAGGAGGAGCAGGTCGTCCTGCCGCAGCACAAAGGCAAGAAAGGAGAGCGTCTGGTGGAGATGCAGAGCAAACAGAGCATAGATCCCCGCTTTCGTATCACATCCAATTTTGTTGACGAAGAGGAGGAGGAGGAAGCGGAACTGGAGGCCCTTGGTGATCAGCCAGAGCCGGAGGAAAGTGAGCGCAAGTGGCAGATGAACATTCTGGAGCAGGTTGTGGGGCATAAGATTGACAATAATGACGGTAAGCCGGCGAAAAGCAAGAAGATGCTGCGTTTCGATCCGGCCAAGGAGGACCACCAGAAGCTAATGCGCCAGAAGCAGCCCAAGGAGGAGGAGGCTCCCAAGACTAAGACCAAGGGCAAGGAGGTTAGCAAAAATCAAGATGACCCAGCCCCTGTCTCGAAAACGGCCTTCTACATGGTCACCGACACTCTAAAAGATTCCCTCAACACCCGCGGCGAGGGTTTCAGCCTGCTGGACATGTTTGGCAGCGCCCCAGGCGAGGAGGTGGCCAAGCGCCAGGACCAGTTGGAGAAGTTGGGCCAGGAGAAGATCCTGGTGGGCAAGGCGTCCGCCAGCAAGCTCGGACTGGCCGCGCTCAATCCGTTTTCCTACGACTCCTCCGACAGCGAGGATGAAGCAAAACCGCCTCAGGAGGAGCACGAACCGGAGGTCAGCAAGGAAAACCAGGCCCAGCCAGTGAAGCAGTCCAAACAGAAGAAGAGCAAAATCAAACTGGAGTCCTTCTTCATACCCAAAAACGATCCTCGGCTTAAGGGTAAGGGCATCAATCGGTGATTTCATTTGCTGCTATCTTACTTATTAATTTGTTTTTATGCAGAGGGTGCCAAGTTCTTCAAGTCCACAAAGCCGGAGGTGGATCAGGCCGACTACGACCAGGTGAGAAATCGTCTGAAGCTGCTGATCAGCAACAAGATCGCCAAGACCAAGAAGAACCTGCCCAGCAAGAACATGAAAGAGCACCGGAATAAAAAGGCAAATCGCTAATACCCTTGGCCTGATCCGTAGGTTCAACTCTACGGACTTTAGTTTTAGGCTTTTACCTCTGTAAAATAAACCACAATTGTTTTTTTTTCTTTAATCGTACATGTATTGATCTAGATTACAAAAAAAAAAATGAAATGATTGTGCTTAAGTTGCTGCACAAATGCATTTGAGCCCCGTTGCAGCTCCAACTAGATTATCGTAGCGATGTGAATCCTGCTTTGTGCTGAGATTCATTTGGCATCCGTAGGTGGGATTCCGCCTAACTAAAAGCTAATTTTAAAAGATTTAGAAATATTGCTGCAACAATAATTGCGGTGCTCAGCATTCCATTAAGTTTATCTCGTCCGCTAAGCACGTTCGTTGGCTCTCTAAGTAAAAATGGCAATCTCAATAAAAATTCGAGACGTGGCTCTTCTTTGGCACTGTGTCCTCATCCGGAGGGATTATATGTAGGTAGGTAGAAGTCTTAAGTAGATCTAGCAAGCGACCGTATGTTAAAGTAGTGGGTATTCTACGTCTGCCTGACCTCGGCCCGTTCCTCCTCGCCAGCCTTTGGGACGACGGCCGACTTGTCCGCGACCTGGGCATCCTCACCGCTGCTATCGCCGTCATCGGGCACCTCAATGGTTGTGCTTATCTGGTCCCCGCCGGTGGCCATGGAGCTGCTGCTATTGGGTGTCGCAATGCCAGTGTTGCGTTCCAAACTGGGCTGCTGCTCTGCTGGTGGTGGTGGTGGCGCTGCGAACTGAGCTTCTGGGGGCGGTGAAAAGGCACAGGGACCAGCTGCCGTTGGCGTCCTCTTCTCCTCCCTGACCGCCGCCACCGGCAACGACGCTAGTGTCCGTCTTACGGCCAGCGTTTCAATGGCCACCACTGTGCGCTCCAGCAGGTTCATCAGCCGATCCTCGCGCGCATCCATCCGCTTGAGGAACTCCTCGTCCCGTTTCTCGCGCCGTTTCAGATACTCGATCAGCTCGTAGTTGGTGCTGTCGCCATCCGTGGAGGTGGACATCTTGCGCTTCTTCTTCAGCGTGGTGGACGAGGAGCAGTCGGACAGGTTGTCCGTGTCGACAATCACGTCGGGGTGCAGTATATTCGGGTCCAGGCCCGGTGAATAGTAGTTCTGTGCCCTGAGAGAGCAAGGATTTGGTCAGTGGGGAGCGGGAACACCTTCTGGCTGCCGGAGCACTCACCCATTGTAGTTCGTCTGCATCAGCTGGATGTCATCCGGGTTGAACTCGCCCTCCGACAGGGGCTCCGACCTGTGGGTGGCAGAAAGGTGAAAAAGTCTTAGAAATTATGTTACCAATGGTTCAACTAAAACATTATAAGAACTGCAAGATTTATAGATATATTTTATATACATTTTAGATCTGATTTTTACTGCTCCAAATTATATCTTTTATTTAGCTTATATCTTTAACATTCGCCCCAGGAAGTCGCTAAAAAGTAGGCAATTGATTTTCATGAACTAGGTTTCGCGAACTTCAAGATCAAGCATCTTGACTTAAATCCTTGTTTTGGTTACTTGTAATAATAGTTTTAAAAAATGTGTTCCTAAAAAAAATATAATAAGAAAAGATCCAAAAAATACAACACCAATTATCTAGCTCTTGAAAAGTTGATGTAATAAAAAACATGTTTACATCAACCATAGATTGTAAGGTTTGCCTATAAAGTTCTGGATAACCATGGGTGTACCGTGGATACACCTCCCAAATACTCACTTCATGGATATGTTATTTTCATGGTGGTTGTTGTTCTGGTGGTGCATGTTGAGGGCTCCATTGCAGTCCTTTTCAAAGTCGGGTCCTTCCCCGCTGTCATCCATTGGACCATGCCCCAAACCAAGTGGGTGGCCGTGTCCCATTCCATGGAGGTGGTTTTTAAATGCTGGACGCTGCGACTCATCCTCGTCGTCGTCCTCGGGCGTCATCTGCACGCCGCCGACATTGGCCATCTGGAGCTCGTGCCGTTTCTGGGCGGCGACGGCGGCAGCGGCGGCTGCTGCAGTTGCGGCCGCTACATGCATCTGGAGGGGATTTTCGTCGAAGACGCCGCCACCGCCGGACAGGCCGGATACGCCGGATGCGGATCCGCCAACGGGGCAGGCCACCTCGTTCAGCTGCGCCTCCACAAAGTGGTTGGGCAGGAAGCGCTCCAGTTTGCTCCCGCTCTGCGAGGAGTCCGTGGAGTGGGCGTGCGAATGGCTCTGGCCACTCTGGCTGAGACTCTGCAGGAGGCTGTGCTGGTGCGGGGTGAGATTGTCCTTGTTGAGCAGCACCCCCAGCTCGGCCGCCTGCCGCCGGCGCTGGTAGTAGGAGAGCTCGTTGTGGTTCTTGGAGATCAGGGCCAGGCGCTTGCCATTCGAGCCCCAGCACTCGCCGCGCTGCTCCTCGATCTCCTTGAAGAGGAACATGTACGGCCAGTTGCGGCGTACATGGCGTTCGGGATTCTTTTTCAGCTGCGTGTAGATCTTCTTGAGGTTCTCGTACCGATTGCAGCACTGCTTGGCCGTCCGCTTCCGTGTGCTGAAGCGGTTGAGGACCTCGGCCACCATCTCCCACACGCTGGCATGGTTCTTCCGGTTCGACTGGAACGCGCTCTGGATGCGCTCCGACTTGACGATGTTCAGCAGGGCCACCGATTCCGGCACATTGAAGTACGACTCCGGGGTGCGCGGCGCCCGCTGGTGGTGGTAGCTGCTCGTCACCGGCGGGGGATTCTTCGTCTCCTGCGGGGATCAAGAATACAAGTTATTATAATGACATTACGATCGGATAAAGAAAAAGTCGCCCACATAAAAACCGCAAAAAATTGTAAGATAAATATGAAAGGTTCTCGACGCAGAGGATTTCTTTTATAACTATGAAATTATAGATATTCTACGTTTAAACAAGAAATAAAGCTAAAGGTGTATATACCCTTGCTTCTTAAACCATATTATATAAATAAAATTAAACGTACAGTAGAGAGTCCGATGGTTCCATTGCATTATGTTTTTCATAGGATTTTGCCAATCCAGTTAAACTTATATTTCTATATTGCTAAAAAATTGCTTCACCCCAGATAAGAAAATTATGAAATAGAACGAAGCTATAATTTGATTTCTATTAATTTTTCCATTGCTCCTATGGGAGCTATAGAATACGGCCCATTCCATTGGTGGAAAGTTTATAAATATTTCCTTTTGGTATTTTTTATGCATAACATAAAGAAAAAGTTCAAAAAAATAGATGTAGACGGTGCGAAATGGCTTTTAAGGTTCTTAGGAATATTTTATATTCGGCTATATGCCGTAGACTTTATTTTTAACTTTGACATTTTGCTTGTAATAACCTAAACCATTGCTTAATAGACTATAACTTTTATATGCACATTGCTTTATGCTAACATAGCCCTTGATCTTTAAAATTATAATATGTATGTATATACTTTAAACTATAAAGTTTATAGAGTTTCACTGCGTTCCAAACTTCTGTCAGAAATCATAAACATGATGATACTATTAAACATCATACAAATTAACAGGATATTTTCAGAATGTGTGACTAAGATATACCTTTCAGAATTGTAACTTAAAAGATCTGACACAGAGCTCTAGAAAGATGTATATACATATGTATATGAGTTACCTTCTGTTATTAAATTATGAAAATAAGGACGTTTCACAAACGAAAAGAACAATTTTTGGCTAAATTGTTTCCATGACATAATAATATTTTGGTTTACATGACATCTGTTTTATATGTTCGTGAGATTTTGGACCTCCTAAAATCTTATAAAACAATCAGAAAAACCACTGTTACTCTATCGATATGATTTCAGTAAGATATACTCCTGTTTACATTTGATAAAGTTTGTTTTAAGAATCGCAGATTTGCTAACGAATGTATTTTGGTAGTTGACCAATATACACACATTGTTCATATGTGTGCAGTCTGTAGAGAATATAAATATACAGCCATTGACAACTTATTAGAATAAACAGAGCTGAAATTTTCTTAAACTATTAATTAATTTATGAAAAAACCACATTTTTTAACTTTTTAAATTTAATCCTGCGATTTTTTTTATACAAATAGGTGGCAGATTTCACAAGTTAATGTATATATTTCACGAAATGAGCCTGTTTTATTTAAAAGATATTTCTAATCTTCTGCCGGTACTCGTGGTATTAAAGAGATTTACCTAGTTTCTTAGGGAATGGAAGTGCTATTGTGATTTTAACCAGAACTGTTTGTGTATCATGCCGTTGGTAAAAACTCATTCATGACCGTGCTACATTTTTCGAAATATTCCCCCAGCAGAGATGACTAAGCGCCGCGAGAACTGTTTCACAGATTTTCGAAGATAGTCACTGCCGCAGATAATCCATGCAACGGCTTTGGCATTCCGATCGGATCCTCAAGCACTTCCGAATCTTGAGTTCTCTGTTATTATTATTTTTTTGAGACCCATAGCTCTACTGCTCTGGAAGCTGATCTTCCAGTTGCTTACCATTGGGGAATTTTGTTTTGTCAGCAGCTTAATGGATGCCCCGATTCTGCTGAGGAGGCGCAACGCTGGGATCGGGGTCTTGTCTTTCTTCTCTCCGCTTCACCGCTGCCGATTCAGATTCAGATTCAGATTCAGATTCTTCCGAGTGCTTCAATGGCGGATTCTCCTGCTCTTGCGGCTCCTCTGTTCGTTGTTGTTCTTCTTGTTACAGATGCTGCGAACTGGCGGCGTTTGCATTTCAAATGTATCTAACTATTGTGAACGCAACGTAACCCTTGCAACACTTAATGGTTATGTCTAAAAAAAAAAACAATAAACATATGTTAAGAAAAACGAATCACAACAAGAACAACGATTTTGTGAGGCACAGCAAAAAAAAAAAAACCGAAACAAAAACAAAATGAAAATCGGAATAAACGAATGAAGGCGATTTTTGTACTTGTTCTTTGTTGTTTTTGGCGTTACTCGCATTTGGTTGTTGACAACAAACCGACATCGACTATTAATATTTAGAAGTTAACCTTTTAGCCTCAGACGGCGGCTCATCGGCTACGGCAACGTCGACAAAAACACGCGAAATAAAAAGAAAACAAAAAATAAAACACAAACGCGAGACAAAAAAAAAAACAAAAAATGAAATCTAAAAAAGAGCAAATCACAAATCACGGAATCAGATGCACATGTGCCCTGCGTTCACACTCACGAATATCCGAGCGAACATTTACAGTTAGTGCGGTCACAACTTTCCACCAAAGTAAAGCTCTTTTTTTTGTTGCATTTCACGTCCCTGTTCTCTTCTTCTTTCTGCAGATCCTCCTTTCTTCGCGCTCTCACTCACACACACATGCCACGCACGACTCTCTTTCACTCTCTCTGTCTCTCTTCTCACGCACTAGAAGCTTTCGCTGACCTGCATTTGCACTGAGAGAAACGAAAGAGCAATACGCGCGCGTTTCGCTTTCGCCGGACAACGCGATTACCGTTTACCGTTTCTCCGTAGTCCGCCGTCCTGAGATTCCAACTAACCAACTAAAACTAACCAATCCAAACAACAACGAAACTGAAACTGAACTTTTTGTTTGCGATCCCGTTGCCCGATACTAACGGCAGTCGCACACACACACGCACACAGGGGCCCGAGCTCTCACACAGGCACACGCATACATACATATACACATAGACCGCTACGATCGTTAGGCGGACGATCGCTCCTCGGCGCACGGAACATAACGGAACGAAACGGAACGGGACTGCTCCGCTCTAACCTGGTAGATTGCGGCGGAGAGGCGATGGCTATGGCGATGCCGATGCCTTCTGGGGTGCACATGTGTTCCGAGCACACACACACACACACACACCCATCCACTTTGGGTATATAAATATACACGAATATGTAAATTCATGCATGTATGTATGTACAAATGTCTACTTATAGAATCGGGCAGAGGCGGCGACTACGGCAAGCGAAGAGAGAAGGAGAGGAGGAGGCGGCGGAGAGCGGAGGCAGCAGATCCGATCGGAGCAAGCAAGATTTCAACGATCCCGAAGAGGGAAGCAGTTACTCCGATTCGATTCCTACTCTAGAAACAACGCATACTGTACTATACCCATGGACACCCATACTTCTCACGACAGCGCTGCGCATGTGTTCGGTTCGGATCGATTCGGGACGGGATGCGATGAGATGGTACGGTATGGTATGGTATGGTAAGAGATGAAGATGAATCTGTAGATCTATAAAGGGCCAAATGGGAAAAGTCGTAGCCTAAATATAGATACAAGTATGTTCTGTGGTACGGTGGCCACCCCAAGTGGATGCGATCGGTTGCCGTTGACTTCTGTTTCGGTGTCGGCTTCTGGGTTGATGATCTCTGCAGAGAAACTGCATCTCGAGCATTGGCCAAATCGCACCAGGATATCAACTACCATCATACGCCAGCAACCGATTGGTTAGCATACTATATGTTATGAATTAGTTCATGTTGGTAAATACTACACAATACTTGGATCATGTAAAACGTAACAATATTGTAAAAGACCTCCATTTTCACTAATGAATAAGTTTTAGTTGTTACCAGCACTCAATGTAACTTGGACTAGACCATTCATTTAATTCACTTTCAATGAACATGCTTAAAATGGTTCCCATTGCACCATTGTTTAAGAAGTGGATTTGAGTCCTTTACATACATACAGGATATCTAACAGTCGATGCACCTAGCAATAGAGTTCTTTCTTGTTTTGGTTTGAATTCCTCACGAATTACATCCATACCCGTCGTTCCCATTTCAAGCGTGAATTCTTCAGGAAGTTTTGAGTTGAAACCTATTGCCTTCAAAGGCAAGGTGAAAATTTATTCGACGATTAGAACTTATAGTTTGCGTTATAAAAATTGAATGGGCTTTAATCTTTTTGATCGCAGAACATACAATCCATAACAGGAGTGAAGTTCGGATGTAGTTCAAACAAATGTTAAACATATACATACAATGTATTTCTAATCAAAACGTAGACTTATAAAAAAGTTGGTTGCCTATGGTTTTTGAGATCGGAACTGAGTCGAGTCTACGGACCAACTACCAAGCTACAGTGATAAGTCATTGGGTCGGAGATAACCCCGCTCCGGTCTAACACTGTTTTTGTTTTATTTGAGAGTCGAGAGATTATCGAAACTACGCCGCTGAGTAACTTGATTTTGAGCTTGTGTGCCTGGGATCTAAGTGCCCAAATTCCGAATTCGGAGCTTCGTCCGATTCTTGTGATCGGTCGAAAGCTATTACATAGTTCCAGGCCGGTCTTGTTATGACTTGTGGCTGTAAGATATTCATATGGGGGCTGCAGGCTGTGGATGTGGCTGTACTACCAGTACAAGTACCCTCGATACGAAGCACAAAGAAGACATTCAAATGAAAAGCGTTCGCCGGCTGAGTGGCAAAGAGAGTGGGCAACGAGAGATCGTAAAGCGAACCACATAGTTCTAGTTCGGATGCAGATACAGCTACAGATACGTACACTTATTTTGGATTACAAATAGAATACGATCGTTGCCAGAGCATACGTTGGTACGCCTGTATTTCGATTGGTGTGTATGTGCACGCCTCTGTGTGGTATATGTACTAAAAATTAAAAATAACGGTGGGGCCGTGAGTAAATTTTGTACGGCCCCAGCAACACCACCCAATCCAATCCAACCCAAAACCATTCCATTCCAATTTCTTTTCCATTTCCAAATCCAACGAGCGTCAGGCGTTTCGGTTACGATCAGGGCATTTTCCATGACCATATGCCTCGAAAAGTGATCGTTGACCGATCGTTCGGATAGAAATGTGAATCAGGCAGGCAAATAGTAATCAATGAAAATCGCCCAGCGAGGAGAGGTGTCAAAGGTGGGCGAACAAAGCCCAAAACCAAATAACGACGGCCGCTTTTATAGACACTCACCCGAACGATAGTAGTGCATACATCTGCATGTGCTTAGAGGCACCCAATGCATATCAAAATCAATGGTCTCCGACTTGGTAATATCGGTCGGGGTTTTGCGCAAGCTATGATTAAAGATTTTTTACTTCTTATGTGAAAAATTAAGCCTTTTCCGAACTAGTTATTCCGAATCGTATTTTCCGAAATAGGTATTCTTATCTGGGTATTCCGAACTAGGTATTCCGAAGTGGGTATTCCGACTTGGATTTTTTGGACTGGGTACTCCGAGCTGGGTATTTCGAAGTTAGTATCTCTAACTGATTATTTTGAATTGGATATCCCGAACTAGGTACTCCGATCTCGTATTCCGAGCTGGGCATTCCGAACTGGGTATTCAGAACTGGGTATTCCGAAGTAGGTACTCCGATCTGGGTGTTCCGAACTAGGTATTCCCAATTGGATATTCCTAACTGGGTACTCCGAATTGGGTACTCCGAACTGGGTATTCCGAAATTGGTTACCCTTTTAGCTACCATTACCTGGTTCTTGCTTGGAGTGTTCAAAAGGGTATCCATACTGGCGTAGCGAATTTTCCACATAGCGCAGTCTAGCTTGCTCCCATTTTCAGTCAAAAACTACGAGTTCAACAACCCCCATTTCATGACCCCCGAAAGGGAGACGCGTAAAGTTCCCTATACTTCACTCGAACCGAGTGTTATGGTCGTTCGCAGCGGTTCGGATCGGTGGTAGTAGACTGCTTCTGGTCCCTAGTTTACGGTTCTTAATACGCCGCTTTAAAAATAGCAACTATAAATCTTATGTACATACTCTCGTCGCTGCCTGTCATTGGCAAAAAACGTTCGTTAAACGTACCCCGCTGATCTCGAGAGGAGATCTTGTTGATGCCGGTGCTGTTGCAGTGTGTAAAAGTAAAAGCATCGCATCCAATCCCATGTAAATCGGCCACATGCACTCACCCATCCGAACATCTGTCAGTCCATGGCGCACACTTAACAAAATCGACCTTACACGTCCTATATCGAACAGGATATGAGTAAAACCATTTATATTTACTTTTTCTGAAATTTCCAATATTAATCTATTATCGTTAAGATTTTGTATTCCTACCATATTTTTTTTAAGATACTTATAGTTAAACCCTAACATCCTATTGGTAACAACTTAGTACATCTCGAATTTCGCGCTCAATAGTGTTATATTCTATAATCTTTAAAATCAAATATGAGTTAAGATCCCTTAAAATCATACACGTATTGACCTAATTTGGAATTTTAAAATGAATTCTTATAAATTCCCAAATATAGTTTCCCCGGATATTACCAAAGACAGTTCGAAAAGTTTGAATTTATTCCAAGTGTACACACATGTTCCTATCTATATGTTTGATGCAGGGCTGAAACTATCGAAACTAATGTTACTTAAGTTGCCATCGGGATTGGGGGAGGAAAGATCTTGCAGTCCACGCTGAAGATCACCGGACCCGAAGAAATGAAACAGATTCAGATTCAGATACAAATACAGGCATACCGCTTCGGATGCACATACAGACGTACAGATACAGATTATAGCTACAGCTACAGCTACATTCACGATCGTGACGCCAACGTAGGAAATTTCGAGCAGGGGGCACGGGGCAGGGGCGGGGGGCAAGGGGGCAGGGGGGTTTGGCTGCAGACGGACTGACAGCAACTACAGAACGGAGCGTAAGCAATGTTAACGAGTAAAAATCAAGAAAATTTTAGTTCTAAAAATAACCCTTGTACTCATTTTTGTTTCAAAACGGAAAGCGGCAGCCAACAAACGACCAAAAACCAATAGCTATAAAGCGCAAAGATACTGAGATACTTGCAACGCTCCGAGATACATATATAAAGACAGAGATACAGATACAGACATACGGACATACGGATGAGTCTGCGGCCACGGATTCTTGGCAATGCCATTGGGGGTAGAACATACTGTTTTACATATACCATGGGTATTGTTCTTGGAATGCGATTTGAAACGTTTTCGAAAATGTTCAAATTATGATACATACAAAGTTCGACTGGCGCGACTATAATTTTCTTCTGGTTTATTGCCAATAAGCCCTGTAAAATAATTTTCAAAGTTTATCAAGTTAAAATTGATATAGAAATTTATTAAAATGAGTATAGTTTCTAATCAATTTCTTATGGGCGTATTGGGGAATATAAGCCGGCGTTTAAATCGAAATCAGAACACCATCTTCTAGCTTCTATTTTAAACCAAATATGGCTTATATCGCAGGTACTTCATTAGTAGAAACAACTGGATAGTCGAAAGAATAATTGATGTATTGAAAATGCAATTAATTGAATGAATTTAACTTCTGAAATTAAATTTAAATCATCCTTAAAGGAGCCAATTTCATAATTAAGGGCCCATTTTATATGGAACAGTACATAAAATACATCAAATTGGTCAATAAAAACATTAAAATTGAACAAAATAAGTCGAAATAAACATTTTTTAATGATTTTCGTACCATTTTTGAGCAAATGCCATATGCAGATTAAATTCACAGTTACAGTGGCATCGAAATGGCATACAAAACGGTATCTTCAAGGACCTTCAAAGCGTTGGATCCTGTGGAGTGCCTTGAAAGTGCAATTTCTCGGAACCACAAATCCTTCAGATAGGCGCGCCATCTAGTGGGCACAAGCACGCGATTATCCCGCTTGATGGGCGAGCTTTGGGAAACTTTAATTGCGAGATGCGAGATAAGCGGTGCGCTACTCACGATGGTGAATGGTGTGTGGTGTATGGTGAATGGCAAATGGCGGTGGGCGGTGGGTGGCAGACAGGTAACAGTAAATAGCAAACAGCAGTTAACAGGTGCGCACACATATGCTGCTCAATCCCGTTACACAATACAGTTCCCATGAAAGCGGCGCCTCTGGGGAGTAGGTGTGTGCGTGTGTATTTGCATATCCTTGAGCGTCTCTCTGGCATCCACACGCACACACACATGTGACAATGGGAGCGAAGAGGGGGTGGGGGTTGCGTCTGCGCTCTCGCTGCTTGCACTTTCCGTTGCCTACTTTGGTGCGTGCGAGAGAGGGAGCGAGTGGAGAGTGGAGAGCGGAGAGAGAAATAGAAATCGAAAGTCGGGTAACTTGTAGCTTTGGAAGGACAACTCTGTTATAGATAGAGGAAACTTCCTGTGCTCTCCGCAGCGTTGCCAGATCGTTTAACGTTCACCGTTAGCCTTTCGCCTTTCACCATTCACCATTCGCCATTCACCATTCGCCATTCGCCGCATCGCACGCATGTAATGCTGTAAGGACGAAAGCTCTTCTGCAGGAGCGGGCCAGTAGGCGAACCAAGACCAGCAAACTCGCTGCTTCGCTCCACACAAAAAAGTGATAGACACGGAAAAATCGCTGGCATTCATTCACCGAATACCGAATAGGCGAGAAGCTCGACCGCCTGCAAAAGAAACGTAGCCAAAAAAACGAAGGCAAAAGAAGAGAATAACGAAGGACGAAGGTGGTGTGGTGACCAGGACAAATAATAATATTATTCCGTATTCCTTCTGAGCAGAAGACATTGGCATTTGATTTGATTTTGTTTGTGTGTGCGTGTGTGTGTCTCAGTGCGTGAGTGCGTGCAACGGTAACGGTAACGGTTAGAAGGATATAAGATACAAGTATACATATATACGCATACATATACATATATATTAACGAGTGTGCGCGTGTGTGCGTGTGTGTTGGGGCCACGTGAAGGCGAAGGCAAAGGCGCGCAACAACAGGAGCGGCTGGGCGATAGAGATAGCGATAGATAGAGAAAGTGACAGTGACTGTGACTGTGACAGTGTGCTGCTGGCGAAAAACCGAAAGTGAAAATTGAATGCGAATACGCGAGCGGAATCAACGGGCGCGGGTCCTTCAGCCGTAAACTGTTGAATATAGAATGACGCTGCTGACAAAAATCAATGTGAGGCACAAAGAAGCAACAGCAGCAGCAGCAGCAGCAGCAGTAACGGTAACAACAGCCAGGATCCCCAGCCAGCGCCGCTCCCCCAGATAAAGATACGGCTATAAGGCCAAGGATAGGGATAAAGGATAAGGGATAACACACACACACACAGGGATAGAGAGAGAGAGAGCGAGCGAACGAGCAAAAAGCAAGCACTAGAAGCTGAGAACCAGAGAAGCGGAAGGACCCTTTCAAGTGCAACAATCGCCGAATTCTCCACCACCATTGAAACCCAAACCCCAGCCCCCTAACCACCCACCCAGCCACCTTTTTATTAGTAACTGTTGAGGGCCGAGAGACAAAAGCGAAATGAAGCCGTCGGATTTGTTGTTGGTGCTGGAAAAGGTAAGCGACAAAAAACCGTAAAAAGACCAAAAAAGAAAGCAAAAAACAAACAAAAACCTGGAACCATTATGCTCCCTACCCTCCATCCCCCCCCTCTCCACAAACTGAAAAGTGTATTTTTATTTCTCCACTGAATCTGACACAGAGTTTTTGGTCACTGCTAAAATTGGAGCCCCCTCATCTACACTCTACACTCACTCACACACACACACACACACCCACAGGCACATACAAACACCCACAGACATTCGAACATGTACGCAGTGTGCGTGTGTTAATGGAGCTCCCTTGTAATGGTATGCCTCAAAAAGGTCATTATGATGCCGAACGCCGACGCACACACACACACACACACGCATAGAGAGAAAGGCGAAAGCTAAAGCATGTGTGTGTGTGTGTGATGTGGTGTGCCGTGGACTTATGCAAATCCATTTGACAAGAAGAAGAAGTTCTCCACATCTCACCCACACAGGCACACAGACGAGTAAGTAATCGACGAACGAGCATAGAAGTCGCAGCAACAACAACAAGAGCCTCACTTACACCCACACTTACACCAAGCTTCAATGCCAAAGCATAAAAAAAACAAAAAAAAAATACACCCCCTTTTTTTTTGGCTCGGCGTTATCTTTATTGCCACTTCTGTTGCGCTGGCCCTTTAGAGCCGCATCTGTAATTGGAGCCGCTCGACTCTAGATCAAGTCCCCCAGTTCCACTGGCACTCCATATCCGGAATATGGAATCAGGGAATCCGGGAATCCCACTCCCAAAAGCATGTGTTTTTGGTCAGGATTAGGTGCGAGCGGGATGGCGAGAGCCTGAGCTTTGTTATGACAATATCGCTCATACGCAGTGTGTGGCTCAATGCAAGACGAGCTTAGCCGCCCAAAAAGTATGCTACACATTGTTACACACTGAGAAAAACAAAAATATGGGCATGCTAATGAGGGGAAAGCACAGTTAATTAAACTATTTATTATTAGTAAAGGATCTATTATGGTGTATTACACTTTAAAAAAGAGAGATTTAATTATTATTAATGGCTAATACATTATTCAAGATCTCTAAACAGAATTTCAAATTGGTAACTTTATTATAAATAAAACTTTAGTTAATCTTTATATTTGACTTTCTTTATGCATAATACATATACATTATCTTTCGTTTTTGAGAATTTTTTAAAACCTCTATTAAAATTGAGTAATCCGAACTTTAGTTAATCTTTTATATTTGACTTTGAAAAATCGTTTCTTATATAAAAAGTGTAAATGTATTTCTTCTGTTTTCAAGAATTAGTTAAAACCTCTATTTAAATACCAAAGTTGAGTTGTAATTCTCCCTGTGCAAAAGATTTTCTCAGTAGCAGCATTATATTCTATTTCGAGACGCCGCCTTCACTTCGACTTGGCTTATCTAGGAACCAGGGAAAGCAGGACTCCCCCTCCAGATTAAAGTCCCCCAGGAAGTCAGCCCCTTTCTTCGGCGGCGTGACCTTTTGTGCTGCTGCCACTGCAATTGCTGCTCATCCCCTGACACTTGCGAGCCATTAATAACGCCAAATTGTTAAAAAAGGGGAAAGGGGAAAGCTTAGGAAAAGGTCCAGAAACAGGACTGTTCTTAGAGACGAAGAGAGAATACCCTGGACTTCAAAGTTTATATCTTATTTGGGATGACTTGGCTCAAAAAAGAAATACCATTATAAGTCATTTTAAAAGGTATGATCTGAAGAATTGGACATGTTTTTTTGGTATAGGACTTCCTAACAAAGATCTGGGGTGCTTTACAAACTATATGCTAGAACTAAAATGCCCTTTGCTGGGTTATCAATTTATGGGGCAGCTGGTACTCATTGGAATACAAAAGGGCGAAGCGTTGGCGAGTCGAAGGACAACATCGCACATGGGAGATGGGTCACGGGACATGGGATGCGCAGTGGAGGATGCAGCGGGCATTGGAGGCTACTGCCTTGGTGGCTTTGATTGCGTCAAGGACTGGCCCGTTGTCGTGGTTGTGGATGATGGCTTTCCAGTTCCCGGAACTGAGCCAAGGCGCCCACGCACCCACTTACCCAGTTACCCACTTACCAACTTACCCACTATGTGTACCAGTGTGGAGATGGAAATGAAAATGAAAATGAAAATGGAGGTGGATATGGAAATGGAAATGGAGGCGGAGGTGGAGGCGGAGGCATCTCGTGGCCGCATCTGCGGTCGACTGCCTACCCGCTGACATGGCATTTAACTGGGAAAGCTGGGGAGCAAATGATGTCGGCCACTGCAGCTGACATCAAAGGCTCTTCCTGAAATGAATGCAGCGAGCTCCCCTTTACGAGCCATTTCCTCAATTGGGAGCAGAGAACAGGAATCAGTTGTGGAGCGAGTCTGCAGGAGTTTGAAACGTCCATTTCTTCGCTCTAGGCAACGAAATAATTGCTTTCTAGTTCAATCTATGGTGATTTTGATTGAGCCCGTTTAAACATTTCAATTCAGTGCGTGCAAAAAATCAGGGATATGCCAGTGTTTTCAAAATCATTGCAAAAAGTAAGGAAAATATATTTTTGTTGGAATTGCAATAAAAATATTAGTGTTTTCTAAAGTACCGTCGAATTTCCATAATTTAGCTTAAATTTTAACAGGTTGAATTTATTTAGAAAGAATTTTTTTTTTGCTTAAAGTGTATACGATTTAAGTGTATTTATGTTTTTATGAACGACAACATGCTCTTTGTATTTTTAGAAATGGTTTGACCTAATGGTAAGATTAAAGTATTTTAGTAATTGGCCCGAGTTCTTGAGAATCAGACGTTTCGAGGAATTTATGCTGGTCATAGTTAAACTTACATCGCAGTAGCTTTTAAAAGTCATCTTAATTAACCAACAAATATTTTTCCTATATCTCAAAGTCTGTGTGTCTCCAATTTTCAACTTGGCAGATGGAGGATTTAGTTTATACTTTATTAAAATGAATTTATATAATCTTCAAGTTAAACTATCATTTGTTCCATAATATACGAATGACAATTTTCCCAATTTGCTCAAATCAAATTTCTTCCGGTATTATGTCATTCATATGTATATATTTTTTTTGAGTGTAAAAAACTGGCTGCAAGGACCGACAGAACTTGTTGCAAATATCGATTGTCAGGACCTCTCCTTCCGGTCCGCTATTTCCTGTCACTCAATTTCCCCCATTCTGGCATCGGTTATCAGTAGAGAACACTCGCTTTTTGTGGGTTCTGGATGGTTGGGCGGCACCCCCTCCTCCACCTGCACCTCCTCCTCCTCCTCGTCCTCCACTTCGATGGCACTCATCTTTCAATAGCATCTGCGCGAACGTGGGTCCTCGAATTAATTGTGCTGCTGCTCCGATTCCAGGTCAAGTTCAGGGTGCCTCTGCCGCCGGGAGTCAGCTCGACGACGCTTCTGCCCAAGCTCATCCGCACCAAGGACGTGAAGCAGCTGCAGGACGGCAACGCACAGCCACAGAAGCCCAAGCTAACGGTGAGATGAGCCCGGATTTAAGTATCCCTGCAGTCCTTAAATATGCTTCTTGCCCTCCAGAAATGTCTCAACACTTTGGACCTGACCTCGCTGGGCATCGGATCCTGCTGCGGAACGGGCATGTACCTGGTGGCCGGCATGGTGGCCCAGAAGATAGCCGGACCCGGAGTGATTATTAGTTTTATTATAGCCGCCATAGCGAGTATTTTCTCAGGTAAACGAGCTCCTTTCTACTTTGCACTGATTGATTGGACCAATTTGTAGAAGATGCCTTGATATGAAAGTTGATTGCATTCGTTTAATAAATTAAGTACATTGTATGCACAGTGTACACCATACATTGTACACATCAAATAATAACTATTCTCTTGATTTTAAAAGTTAGCTAAGAACGATTCCATCTCAAATTATCAAAATCGAGTTGCTTTCGCCTCAAAAATAAATCTAGATTGATTTTATCCCTATTTGAAAATCGCTTTACCTCAAAATAACATTAAGCTACTTTCTTCTTGATTTCAAGAAGATTTCTTCTTGAATAAATGAGAAATTATAATCTCAAATCTTAGCTTCTTTTCGTTCTTAGCATTTCTGAGTGAATTTATTTTGCAATTGGTCCAGTTTCTCAGTTGATTTCTTCCCACAACTTTGTGATTCGATATATATATCCCGATTTAACAATCCATAGGCGCTTGCTATGCAGAGTTTGGCGTTCGTGTGCCCCACACATCCGGCTCGGCCTATATGTATTCATATGTGGCGGTTGGAGAATTCGTAGCTTTTATAATTGGTTGGAACATGATATTGGAATATCTGATAGGTGAGTATTCAGCGGAGTAATCGAAGGTCCCTTTGGTATTGACTGTGATTTCTGGATAGGAACAAGTGCCTGTGCCTGTGCGTTAAGTTCTAGTTTCGATTCCCTGACCGGCAATGCCATAGCACGAACGATAAGCGAGTCTATTGGCACGATATTCGGTGAGTGTTTTGGACGATCGATGGGTTTCGATTTCCCTATCTATATCTATACCTTTATCCCTAACTCACAGGCAAACCACCGGACTTTATTGCCTTCGGCATTACGCTGCTCATGACCTGCGTCCTGGCGATGGGTGCCAGCAAGTCGGTCATCTTCAATCACTCACTCAACGCCGTCAACCTGGCCACGTGGGTGTTCGTAATGGCCGCCGGGCTTTTTTACGTGGACACGAAGACGTGGTCGGAGCACCAGGGATTCCTGCCCTACGGCTGGAGTGGTGTAAGTAGCAATCCATCAACCGAAACCGCTTTAAAAATTTAAAATCACTTCAATATATTAAAACATGTGCCCAAAAGTATGCTGCAAAAGCATTGCTACTGAACAAAAAGCTACAAAATATATCATAGCATACATTTCGGCACTCTTTCAGGTGTTTTCAAACCCATTATGAATTTTATTTTCTTCTTACTACAGGTATTTTCCGGTGCTGCCACCTGTTTCTACGCATTCATCGGTTTCGATATTATCGCAACAACCGGCGAGGAGGCGCACAATCCACAGAAGAGCATTCCGAAAGCTATCGTTGGTTCCCTGGTCGTCGTGCTAATCGCCTATGTTAGCGTTAGTCTAGTCCTAACTTTAGTGGGTGAGTACGAGTTATGAGTTATGAGTAAGACAGTCCAATATTACTATTTTTACGGGTGATAAAAGTTACACGATACTTGAGAATCTTAAAATTCTTTTTTAGTATTGTATTGGGGCTCTACCTTAAGATATGTAGTTATAAAAAAAAGGTAGTAAGCTAGCTGTTCTCGTTCTTATGACAGCTATACGTTATAGCTTTCGAAAATCACAGGGACTTAAGTGACAACATATTTTAAATTCAGAATTGATTCAGAAAGACATCTTTGTGAGGCAACCCTCAAAATATCCTATTGAAACCGCGTAACAATACATTTATATTTAAAAGCATAGAAGATATGTCGATATATAATATTTAAGGAACCTATTTTTCAACCCCTTAATTTTTTTCTTTCATTTCTTAGTTCCCTATGACCACATCAACACGGGAGCGGCGCTGGTCCAGATGTGGTCGTACGTGAATGCCCCAAAGTGCCGGGCGGTAGTGGCCATCGGAGCTACCGCTGGACTCTCGGTGGCCATGTTTGGCTCCATGTTCCCCATGCCGCGCGTTATCTATGCGATGGCCCAGGATGGTTTGATCTTCAGGTGAGTGTTGGAGTTGATAAAGAGTTCCTCTAATGCAGATCTCGATTCCAATCCCCTCCAGGCAATTGTCGCAACTGTGGCAGCGTACCAATGTGCCCGGGCTGGCGACCATTGGCAGTGGATTGGCTGCCGCTTTGGTGGCACTCACCGTGCGCCTGGAGATCCTCGTCGAGATGATGTCCATCGGGACGCTGCTGGCCTACACGCTAGTCTCCACCTGTGTCCTGGTGCTTCGCTATCAGCCGCACAGCACCTCGCTGGTGGAACTGCTGCCGGCCCAGCTGCGCACCCCTGTGGCGCCCGGAACGGCCAGCGATTCCCGCTCCCATGTGACGCCCGCCGAGGTGCTCGAGGTCCCCGGAAAGCTAACCATCAAGCGGGTCACGCGCGGCATGTCCGACTCGGACGACTCCTTCATCGACGACAGCCCGGAGGGATTTCTGGGCGGGCGGGACGACCAGTTCCTGGTGTCCGATAGATCCGAGAACAAGTTCTACGGCAGTGTACATGGCGCACCCACCGGACCCACCGGCCAGGCCACCGCCTTCGATGCCATGGGCCTGAACTTCGTCTCCCGGAAGATCCACGACTACGCGTACCTGTGCCCCGGCTTCTTTCCCTGGATCAATCCCGGTCAGGCCACCGCCGAAAGTGGTATGTATCCTTGAAAGTTTTGGATCCATAATCGAAAGCTATCGTTATGATTACAGTATATAATTCTCCATTAGAATCTTTAATTTTTTGAAAAGGGTTAAGAGACAAGTGGTCTGTTTGAGAATTCTTCCTCTCACTTTTTCGAGATGAAAAGTTCTTAAAATAGAGATGAAAGTAGTCTTTATTTTTGTTTTTCCAATTAAAGTGATATTGAAATAGAGATGAAAGTAGACCTGATTTTTGTTTTTTCAATCGATCTTGTCCCATCTCTGAGATCGAGAGAAACGGGTTTTTTCCTAGGTATATATCTTAAGTAACTTGTATAGGTTGGAACCTTGTTTCCTGCTGAAAACCCATCACAACAACAACAAAATTGCGATTGAAATTGACTCTTTGTTTTTGCTTTTCCAATCCAACATCGACATCGAAATCAAACCAACAGGCATGTACGTCACCAAGCTAGTGGGCATCATGTTCGGTCTCATATTCTTCCTGGACCTGTTCGCGGCCATTGGGTGGTCCGGTGGCCTCGCCGCCTTCATTTATTTCATTTTGTTTATCGGCATATTTGTGATACTATTGATTATATCAAGGCAGCCGCAGAATAGGTAATAACAATACCGTTTGCCAATACAATCGGCTAATGCAGCTAACCACAAACCCCCTCTTCCGATCTCATCCTCCGATTCCAATCTCGACCAGGTATGCGCTGGCCTTCCTCACTCCCGGACTCCCCTTCATCCCGGCCATCGCCATCACCGTGAACATCTACCTGATATTCAAGCTCAGCATCCTCACGTTGGTCCGCTTCACCGTGTGGATGTCCCTGGGGTTCATCATGTACTTCTACTACGGCATCACGCACAGCAGCCTGGAGCAGACCAGCGACGACCTGGAGCTGCATGTCGACTATGTGAGTGTTGTTCGATGATTGGGTGTTCTATCCAAACATAAACCGAACCACCTTCCATTACCATTAATATTCTATAATTCCAGAGCAAAAACGTTGAGGAGAAGGCCGTGTGGGATCAGCAATCGTACAACCAGACCCACGAGCCCGTCTGGGCCAGCAAGGAGGTGAAGCATCCTTCGAGTAAGTGGAGATTCTGAAAATGATTATTTCTTTACCTGATGTAATATCATCTTATTATGCATTTATGTCTACTTTTAGTATACATTTTTAAGAATATCGAAATTTTAACGATAAGAAAGATATTCATGATATTTAAAGTTTCGATATATAAAACTTTACGATATTCTCGATAGGATGAAATCGATATAATTAAGAATTCATGAACCTCATAGAACATATGGCGGATGATTGATTTTTTTTTGTAAATTTAATTTAATTCATGAGATTAATGTAAGTTGGGAAAGTGGTGGGATGGAAAATCAAATTTGAGGGGTATATATAGAAATATATTTTCTAATACAATTTCATTTTTGGTGTCCAGCAGAGCAACGATACAACTACGGAAAGACCACGTCGTCTTCGTCGTCGGCACAGGGCAGCTCGAGGAGTGGCCAGGCCAGTGGGCCGGAGAAGCCACCGGGCAGGAGCCAAACGGGACACAGCCGACCGGTTCCACCTCCCCCGATCCCTGGCCAGGCGAAGGGTTCGGGATCGGGATCGGGCAGCGGTCCTCCCATGGAACGCCAGTACACCGGCCAGTTCAGCATGTTTGTGGACGAGGGCCAGTTCCCCACGTGGGAGGACTAAGTGAAGTACCCCATCCACATAAATCCCCATCCCCATTCCAGTTCCATTCCGATTCCCAATCCCGATGATGCCCTCTGATTCCCGAGTGATGCTACAATGATATCATGAGCTTCGATCTCAAGTTTTCTGGATCTTCATCTGGATATGGATCTGGATCTTGACGGTCGGGTGCAGCTCACTCACTTGTAAATACGATTAGAGATGTTAAGTTTAACCATATGGCGATCTGTGTCGTGTCGTTACCGAATTGCAGATGCATACCGTATACAAGGCATGTGCATGTGCCCTGGGCGGCGGAGTTATACACCCTATATAATATACACATATATATATATATACAAGCAAATATATATTTACATATATAGCGATGGGTTATATTAGTTCAGCAAAGAGTTACAGAGCAAAGTTGCCGAATTCCAACTATCCGAACCCTGATACCAAGCCGACCGATTAGCGATAGACGATAAGCAAAGCCACAGACACAAGATAACAGATAACAAATAACCGATAACCAATGAACGATTGTGCTCAACTCCGATTGGCAAGCGTTTTGGGTGACGTTGGTCAATCGGCTTTCAGCACAGGGGAATCAGGAAGGCAGGCACAATAATACATATGTATGTATGCATATTTCTGAAATTGTTCAGATATATCCTATACGGCAGTGAGGTGGTTGTCGGGGTGCTACCATGCACAACTGTACATTTTAGGCACCACCACCCCCACACCCACACTCACAAGGGACTAACACGATAAACGTAAAACCCTGGGCTTGTGAAGAGATCCCCGAAGGAGATCAGAGGAGACCTTTCGTAACCCCAAATGATATTGGACCTCTGACCAAAGACGATCTTTGCATAAAATTGGGATTGGCTCACACACAGACTCCCACAACTGACGATCTTAAACACTAACGTTATGTACCTTTGATTCTATATTGTTGTTTACATATTTATGCTATGCATTTGATAAGGCGCCTGGACATGAGGTTTTACAGTACAGTACGCCCTGCCTACGGCCGTCCCGTCTCACTCACTCTATCGGAATGTTATTTGTTTTTTATTCTAGAAGCTCGCGCTAAACTAAAACTCATTTTAAAGCGGCATTTCGCATTCGTTGTAATACAATTCATTTTACTAATGGAATACCAAGAAAAAATTATACAAATATGCATATATATTTATAAAAATTACCATATAGACAAATACCAAAGAATACAAAATATTTATTGAACTATTCAAACTTAAACCAAGGATAAAACAAAAGCAAGCATAACTACAAATATGTATAAACACAATGATAACTTAAACCAAAAGCAAATATGATAATGAAAACATTTATGTACAAGCATACTTTTTTCCACTTTATATACATACTATGTACAAGCAAACCATGCATAACTATTTTTAGCTAAATTACAAGTATATGGCAAAGTTAAAGCAAAATCAACCTTTTTAATAATAATAATACTTATGATAATTTATTCCTTTTGTACTTCACGACTTTGTACAGGAAAGAATCCGAATAGCGAATATCAAAGATTGCAACAAGAACTCAATAACCTAGGGCTAGCTTTCGATCCGATCTAGCCCCGCAACAGAGAATAACACTATTTATATACAAAACAAACGTACCGTCTAAGACATTCGATATTTTGATTTTGACTGATTTCGTTCGATTCCATTCAGTTGATCCCTTAAATTTCGAGTGCCAAATCAATGCACCATTGCACTTCTTGAACCAGTAGCAGAAAACATATGTATAAGTAAGTCCTAGGACCGAAACGAAACAAAATGAGTTCCATGTTCAACTTACTCAATATTAGGGTTTTCGAAGAGGAGCTTTCCGGACCAACTACTTAAGATATAGTGCCACCCAACGGTCCTGCACCACGTACTTTACATGTATTCTTACTTTAGTTCACTAAAACTCCGTTGATTCCTTTCAAAACTTAAATCTAACACTATTTGTACATACACAACCTATACAGGCAGGCAAAAAAAATATAAAAAACAGTGCGAATGTATATTTTTATGAACAAGATAAGATACAGCAAAGAAGCAACTAAAGGGAAACGAAACTCAGATACAAAAGTAACAACTAATGAATAACATATCCTACCACACAGCTTAAAGTTGAGATATAACAATAACGGAACTCGCCGAGCCCACATTCATCCGATTTTTTCGATACCTGATCACCGATTACCGATTACTGGAGTCCAAGTTTTGCTTTCGTTACCAAGTTGGGTCAAACTGTTTATTTAAACTGTTAAACATTTTCTTAAACGGACTCCAGTTTTATCGGTGGAAAAGGATCCCAATTGTCTGTTGAGTGTGCGCTCAGAGGAGTTACCATCCGTACATCTATATGTCAGTCAACTATGAAAGTGACAAAAGTTACAGTACAGGCAATCCAGTAACTGCGGGCTGAAGCAGCTTGCTCTTCCACCTTTCGGTTCTTTCGATACCACCAAGTTAAGATAAATGTTATGGGAATATGATAGTTTTAATAGATTTTCTACAGTTCCAATTTAAAGCAAATAACAACAAAGTCAACATAACGTGCAATATATCGATAAGTGTGAAGGGACAAACCAAAAGCTTCCGTTAACAAAAAATATGCATTTTACTACCAAATATTATTTCCGTACTTTTTTAATCCCCCGAACGGAGAACAAACACGTACTCTAAGGTCTATGCTCACTGTGTCTAAACTGCAAACGGAATGAGATTCAAATCAGAAAAACCAAAGGCGGAAGTGACGGAAAACCTAACTGCACCCACAAACACGCATAGACAAGCACACAGAAAAGGAACAGATCAACAATAAGAACAGCAATATGAGAATTATAATTCCGAAAACGAAGCAGACCGTTTACTTAAGAGCCAAGCCTAAATATGAAAAACAAAACTGGAAATAATCCACATTTGATTGTTTGATTGATTGGAAATGGCTTTAGACGATTGTTTCCTTATTGATTGATTTTCCAGCTGAACATAAAGTACCTAAGTTTCTGTTTATTTCATAAGACTGAATTACTGGAATATGATTTATTTTAAACGTGTATATAATTAAGGTGTAATAGCAAACTTTACAACTTTTACTAATGAAGCATCAAAATTTTTGAAATTATTCTGAACTCATTTATTAAAAAATTAAAAAAAAAAACAAGATGAAATTGAGGAGAAAAAACGAGAAAAAAAGGTGATGAGATAGTCGAGAGAGAATGAAGTTAATATGCAACTATTAATATACAACATATATGGGAAAATCCCGATATGATGATGATATATATATATATATTTCAATGGATCGATAACAAAAAAAACAGCAAACCAAAGTGAAATGAAAATGATGTTAAAATATAAGAAAAACAAAACATTTTTTAATTCAAATACTACTCTTGATTTGTTTTATGTGTTAATAACTTATTAAATGATATTTCTTGAGAATATTAAAAAAATAAAATTGTTAGGATATTCAATGTTGATTGTTTTCATGGGAAAGCTGAGGGAAGAAGATCTATAATTCGGTCCAGGGGGAAATTTTAATTCAATACAGGAAATCTATTAGTTGGCTAACTAAATAACAAAATATAAATAAATATTTTGTAAGAATTAAATATTTAAAGATATATTAATAACCCACACCTCCGGTGAAATTCGTCACTACGTGGAATAGTCATACAGCCAGGCCAGTGGAGTCCAGCTATAAAACCGAAGGCCAGTGGAAAAAGCCGGCTATCGCTTATTTGGTGAAATCGATTGTTAAAATACTAAATGACTTAGTATTTTCCAAGTCACTCCCCGGCAAACGGTCGCACTAATTACGCAGAGAGAAAAAAGCTAACAATTTTTTCTGTGTCCGAAAAGTAATTATTTAAAAGGTAATTAAAGATAAGCTGCGTTGGGATGGGTCACAGGAATACGGAATAACTGCGGAACATTAGGGGACCTGTTTTCCGGCGATTGGCTTTGAGCCATTCCTCTGTTTCGGCTCCCTTTTGAGACGTGTTCAAGCTGCGATACGCGATAGGGGCAAATGTGTTGGTATTCGGGTGATTCCGCCCCCAAAAGAGGGTGTGGAGGAGGTTAGGGGGCCTCGCAATCAATAATCGCACTACTAACGCCGGAAACCCTCTTTCTCCATTCTCCATCCCAATCTCAGCCAGCAGCGAGGAGCATCATCAGCCACGATGACCGATTCCAAGTACTTCACCACCACCAAGAAGGGCGAGATCTTCGAGCTCAAGTCGGAGCTGAACAATGACAAGAAGGAGAAGAAGAAGGAGGCGGTGAAGAAGGTGATTGCCAGCATGACCGTGGGCAAGGATGTCTCCGCCCTCTTCCCGGACGTGGTTAACTGCATGCAGACGGACAACCTAGAGCTGAAAAAGCTGGTCTACCTCTATCTGATGAACTACGCCAAGTCGCAGCCGGACATGGCCATTATGGCGGTGAACACGTTCGTTAAGGATTGCGAGGACTCCAACCCGCTGATCCGTGCGCTGGCCGTGCGTACCATGGGCTGCATCCGAGTGGACAAGATCACCGAGTATCTGTGCGAACCGTTGCGCAAGTGCCTGAAGGACGAGGATCCATATGTACGCAAAACGGCCGCTGTGTGCGTGGCCAAGTTGTATGACATCTCCGCCACCATGGTGGAGGACCAGGGCTTCCTCGACCAGCTGAAGGACCTGCTGTCCGACTCGAATCCCATGGTGGTGGCCAATGCAGTGGCCGCACTCAGCGAGATCAACGAGGCAAGCCAGTCTGGGCAGCCCCTGGTCGAGATGAACTCGGTGACTATCAACAAGCTGCTGACGGCGCTCAACGAGTGCACCGAGTGGGGACAGGTCTTCATCCTGGACTCGCTGGCCAACTACAGCCCGAAGGATGAGCGCGAGGCGCAGTCCATCTGCGAGAGAATCACTCCGCGACTGGCCCACGCCAACGCCGCCGTCGTCCTAAGCGCCGTCAAGGTGCTGATGAAGCTGCTTGAGATGTTGTCCAGCGACAGTGACTTCTGTGCCACACTCACCAAGAAGCTGGCACCGCCACTCGTCACGCTGCTCTCCTCGGAGCCGGAGGTTCAGTATGTGGCGCTGCGCAACATCAACCTGATTGTCCAGAAGCGTCCGGACATTTTGAAGCACGAGATGAAGGTATTCTTTGTGAAGTACAACGATCCCATCTACGTGAAACTGGAAAAGCTGGACATCATGATCCGTCTGGCCAACCAGAGCAACATCGCCCAGGTCCTCAGCGAGCTAAAGGAGTACGCCACCGAGGTAGACGTCGATTTTGTGCGCAAGGCGGTGCGCGCCATTGGGCGATGCGCCATCAAGGTGGAGCCCTCGGCAGAACGTTGCGTCTCCACGCTGCTGGATCTTATCCAGACCAAGGTCAACTACGTGGTGCAAGAGGCCATCGTGGTCATCAAGGACATCTTCCGCAAGTACCCAAACAAGTACGAGAGCATCATCAGTACGCTCTGCGAGAACCTAGACACTCTGGACGAACCGGAAGCACGCGCATCGATGGTCTGGATCATTGGAGAGTATGCGGAGCGCATTGACAACGCCGATGAGCTGCTTGACAGCTTCCTTGAGGGCTTCCAGGTGGGTTTCTACCGTACTTGCCAACATTTTGCCAGATGTCTGCCATGTTCTTTTAATTTTTCAGGATGAGAATGCTCAGGTGCAGTTACAGCTGCTGACGGCTGTGGTTAAGCTGTTCCTCAAGCGCCCGTCGGACACCCAGGAGCTGGTACAACACGTACTCTCGCTGGCCACCCAGGATTCGGACAACCCCGATCTGCGTGACCGTGGCTTCATCTACTGGCGTCTCCTATCCACAGATCCGGCTGCCGCCAAGGAGGTGGTGCTGGCCGACAAGCCGCTCATCTCGGAGGAGACAGACCTTCTGGAGCCGACGCTGCTGGACGAGCTCATCTGCCACATAAGCTCGCTGGCTAGCGTGTATCACAAGCCTCCCACGGCGTTCGTGGAGGGTCGCGGCGCCGGAGTGCGCAAGTCGTTGCCCAATCGAGCTGCCGGATCCGGAGGTGGCAGCGAGCAACCAGAGAGCGGAGCCGGTTCGGAGGCCATGGTCATCCCCAACCAGGAGTCGCTCATCGGCGATCTGCTTTCCATGGATATCAACGCACCAGCCATGCCCTCCGCTCCGGCGGCCACCAGCAACGTGGACCTGCTGGGCGGCGGCCTCGACATCCTGCTGGGTGGCCCACCTGCAGAGGCGGCTCCCGGCGGTGCCTCAAGCCTGCTAGGCGACATATTTGGCCTGGGCGGGGCCTCGCTTTCGGTGGGCGTTCAGATCCCCAAGGTCACATGGCTGCCAGCGGAGAAGGGCAAGGGCCTGGAGATACAGGGTACATTCTCGCGCCGCAACGGCGAGGTGTTCATGGACATGACGCTGACCAACAAGGCGATGCAACCGATGACCAACTTCGCAATCCAGCTGAACAAGAACAGCTTCGGTCTGGTGCCCGCGTCACCCATGCAGGCTGCTCCCCTTCCACCCAACCAATCCATCGAGGTTAGCATGGCATTGGGCACCAACGGACCCATCCAGCGCATGGAGCCGCTCAACAACCTGCAAGTGGCCGTGAAAAACAACATCGACATTTTCTACTTCGCCTGCCTGGTGCACGGCAATGTGCTGTTTGCCGAGGACGGGCAGCTGGACAAGCGCGTGTTCCTCAACACCTGGAAGGAGATCCCCGCCGCCAACGAACTGCAGTACAGCCTGAGCGGTGTCATTGGCACCACCGACGGCATCGCCTCCAAGATGACCACCAACAACATCTTCACCATCGCCAAGCGCAACGTCGAGGGTCAGGACATGCTCTACCAGTCACTCAAGCTGACCAACAGCATTTGGGTGCTCCTGGAGCTGAAGCTGCAGCCGGGCAACCCGGACGCCACCCTGAGTCTCAAATCGCGTTCCGTTGAGGTGGCCAACATAATCTTCGCCGCCTACGAGGCCATCATCCGATCACCTTAAGCGGTTCACTCATGACGTCGGATGTTGGACGAGGAGCACAAAGCAATCGGAGCGATCAATTTATGAGGGAGCCGACTGGATGTTCTCTGCGGGCGTTGAAGATTAGCTCAACAACAAATTGTAATTTACGTATTATTATTATATTGTGTATTGGCGGCTTCGCCACTTACATACAATTATTTATGCATATGCACACATATAAACCAATCAAGTTTGTCGAGAGAACTGTTAATTGTTAATCGGAGCTGCATGTCCTCAATGTACTGTATAACGTTTAAAGGTAGCGAAAGCTGCGCCCAAGCTAACGTTGCGTAATCGCATTCCAAAACTCTGTAACCCCATATGCACGGCATCTATGTATATGTACGTGTCCTAGTAAAATGTATGACATAACACACTTAATATTTGAGGCATTGTTTTCTTGTTGGTAGAATAATTTCCTAGAAAAGTGCACTTCATCGATCCAATTTTAACTGGGGTTTCTAAGATGTATGAAATCTTTATAAGTATTTGCGTATCGATCAGAAAACTTAACATTTAAGAGTTCATGAACTTTATTCTGGAGAAATGGTGCATAAAATTCCTTCCTTTCTTGTTTCAAAATCAATTTAATAAGATTTGAAGGTCAAAAAATCATTTTTTAATTGATAGGGATCGTTATTTTCTGAATCCCTTTTTTCTGCTCTAAAATATGAAGGGTCAGAATAAGCTCTGAGGGAATATTATTAATTTTGCTATTTTTGTACAAGTAGCATTATGTAACCCCTTATTAAAAATGACCATAGAGCTCACTACTGCTGGGCATCTCCCCTTTCTTCTTGTCCTTGTAAATCTTGTTCTTGTCCTTGTAATTCTTGTCCTTGTAATTCTTGTCCTTGTAATTCTTGTTCTTGTCCTTGTCCTTGTCCTTGTTCTTGTCCTTTTCCTTCTTGTCCTTGTCCTTTTCCGTGTCCTTTTCCGTGTCCTTCTTGTCCTTCTTGACCTTCTTGGACTTCTTGATCTTCTTTGCATTGGGCGGTTCATTGGCGTCCGATTGCGGATAGCTAGTTTTCTGAGCATCACCCTGCGAAGTGCAGCTAGGCTCTGAGTCCTCCTCGGCGTTTAACTTGCTCAACTTCTCAATGCCCTTCTCGAGGATGCTCCAGCTTATCGGATCGAGAACGTCAAGCTCGATGCTCTTGGGTTTCGAATCTATGTCGTGATACGCTGTGAAGACAGAAATGATATCATGGGTGATCCTTGCCCATTACTATAGGGTCTAGTACGGGCCTTACCCCAAAGGACCTTCTCCAGACCTCGCATATACTTGTCGACGCGCGAGTAATACTTGCGGGGCTCGAGCAGCAGTTCGCACAAACGCTGTAAGTTGTAAGGAGTGTCATCGAACTGATCCAAGCGCTTCTGCAACGAATTCTTCATCTCCTCATAGTTAAACGCTCCATACTGCGTGCAGGGGGGG